CCCAAACTGTGTGTACCTAGAGCTGCAGCTCTGATTTGCTGCAATACAACCTTCGTTATCAGCTGCCATTTCTACAATGTAAAGCATACTCCTAAAAAGGAGCGAAGTCATTCACAACCAAGAGCAATGCAAGTTGAAAGCAAGTGAAAAAGAGGGGGCCAGACAAAATCTAAGTCTGGACAGTTATTTAGGACATCAGTCTTTAGGACTCTTCTCGGTTTGCTGGCTTTCTAACATAAAGTTGACTTCTTTGCTCCAATACCTTGTCTCACAACTGGCTGTCATTTGGCAAGTGACATGAGCTTAGATTCAGTTACAACAGGGATAGGAAACCACTGAATACACTGATCAAATATCAAGTGTCCTAGACTGAGTAGGTAACTATATAGGGTACCTAAAAGAAAGTGTTTGGCAACTGACTTGTGTTGAATATGGGTTTTAGACTTCCTAGGTTTGAATTACCAGGCTCCATCCCTTCCATCCAAATGGCCTTGGGTATGCTAATACCCACTTTGTCGTTTTGCTTCATCAGAAAAACTGCAGGTTCAGTCAGTCATTTAAGAAATAGTTGAGTACTCACTACGTGTCTGGCACTGTTCTAAGTGCTGGAGATACAACAGTGAATACAAAGATGTCTCTGTTCTCAAAGTCTATTCAGAGAAACAGATACCAAAAAGAGTCAGAAAATGCTATGAACATATATACTAAGTAAAGAAAATAAAGGGGTGGAAAAATGAGGAGCCTATTCTAGTTGACAACAACAGCTAACACTTATTATGTACTTATTGGTTGTGTTCCTCCAAAACTCATATTGAAACCTAATAGCCACTAGTGATAGTATTAGGAGGTAGGGCCTTTTGAAGGTGATTAAGTCATAAGGATGGGGTCCTTGTTGTGAGGATTAGTGTCCTTGGGAAAGAAACTCCAGAGAGCTAGCTCACGCTTCTCCCATGTGAGAACACAGTAAGAAGTGTGCAACCTGGGAGAGGGCCCTCCCTATATTGGGCTTTCCTGCCTCCAGATCTGTGCAAAATAATTTCTATTGTTTATAAGCTACCTAGTCTATGGTTAGTGTTTTTTTTTTTAAATTGCAGACTAAATGAACCAAGACACTAAGTAACAGATACTAGTCTACCTAACTGTATTGATTTATTTAATATGATGGGTCAGGGAAAACCTCCTCCCATAAAAGAACTGTATCTTAAAGTGTTGTTGTGAAGCTTACATGAGACAACACGTTAAAATCTTGAGACAAAGTCTGGCACAGAATAAGCACTCAATAAATGTTAGCCATTAATATTTTTTAAAATGTACCCAAGGCTGAGCATGGTGGCTCAAGCCTAAAATCCCAGCACTTTGGGAGGCCGAGACAAGAAGACTGCCTGAGCTCAGGGATTTGAGACCAGCCTGGGCAACTTGGTGAGACCTCATCTCTACAATAAATAAAAAAATTAGCCAGGTGTGGTAGCGCATGCCTGTAGTTCAGTTACTTGGAAGGCTGAGGTGGAAGGATTGCCCGAGCCCAGCAGGTCGAGGCTGTGGTGGCCGTGAGCGTGCCACTGCACTCCAGCTTGGGCATCAGAGTGAGACTCTAACTCAAAAAAAAAAAAAAAAAGGTACCTAAACTATAACTTTACTGCATTGAGGTTTTAGACACTTTTCCTAGAGAGGCATGGTCAATAAACTTTCTAGCAGCAAGATACTGAAGAATGTTAGCATGCATAGGCAAGAACTAAAATAGAAAACTGACTTAACAAGAGAGAAGGAATAAGTGAAACAACAAAAGGGAAGTAGAAAGAACTGGGTCCAAGAGCAAAGGTGGAGGGCTTACCATTGGAAAGAAAAGATTTCCTCAGTGTCAGAAACAGAAAAAGGAAAGAACTCTTCTGTCTTTCTAAAATCACTGCAAATTTCTTATAGCTAGTGACAACTTTAAGAAGTCTTACATAAAATACTTTGTAACTGTAAATAACCATACAGGAAAGAAAAACAAGGACTAGGACATCTCTTTATTTACATGGCAAACACCATTTGCCAAAGACTGATGCCCAAATTTAGGCAGTTTACTATGACAAAGTAACTATCAAATAGAAAAATAAACACAGAAACTAGCAATTACACAGGTACTAAAGAAACCAAACATCCTAAGCAGAGAAAGATACCTGGCTAGAAAATTACATCTAGTATACCTCACATATGCTAGATTTTTAAAATTGAGCCTACAGAAGTAATTCATTCCTGCCCACCTTTAAATCATGTCATCTTTCAATACCCAAATTATTGCTATTTTTATTTTTATTTTTTTTGAGTTGGAGTCTCACTCTGTCACCCAAACTGGAGTGCAGTGGCCGCTCCCAGCCACTACAGCCTTGACTTGCTGGGCTCCGGCAATCTTTCCGCCTCAGTCTTCCAAGTAGCGGGAACTACAGGCGCGCGCTACCACACCCAGCTAATTTTTGATTTATTGTAGAGATGAGGTCTCACCAAGTTGCCCAGGCGGGTCTCGAACCGGCGGGCTCAGGCAATTCACTCACCTCGGCCTCCCAAAGTGTTGGGATTACAGGCTGAGCCACCGAGCCCGGCCCTATTACTATTTTTAAATGGACATAAAATTGTATGTATTTATCATGTACAACATAACGTTTTGAAGTATATGTACATTGTGGAAGGGTTACATCTACCTTACTAAATGCTTCACCTCACACCTTAGCATTTTTATTGTGACAACACTTAATATTCACTCTCTGTGTTTTTCAACAATACAATGGCCTTAGGGGAGGGGGTTTTCTTGCCGCAGTTTATCTTGGCACTGACAACAGAAACTGGCTTAGAATATAGCAAGGGGAGTCATTATGATACTTTTACCACAGGACCATGCTGTACAACAGATCTCTTGAATTTATTCCTCCTAACTAAATATGCATGTCTCAACCCCCATTCACTTCAACTACCCCAGTCACTGATAACCACCATTCTATGCTTTATTTCTATGAATACTCAAACTATTTCAGGAATGTCCATATGAAGAAATATAAATGTATCATTTCAAGTTCAGATAATACACACACACACACAAATATAAATTTGACTCTTATTTATCTGTAGTTTGAAAACAATAAAATATACAGGAAATCAAATTCACACCTGGTCTTACCTTTGTAAGATGATCCATTTTCAAATTATCAATCATCATGTTTTTCTGGGACAGCTCTATTTTCAGCAGCTGAATGTTATGAAGCAGCTCTTTGCGTTCAATCAGCTGCCTGGTGACTTTGAGTTTACCCTCTCGCTCTTCTGATGAGGAAATATCATCTGTATGAACCGTCGTTTCTAAACTAATATCTTCAGATTCCAGAGAACTAGAGATGTTGACTTTTTTTGAGTCCTTGGAGATTTTTCGAGACATTTTATTACTACAGGTCAGTTTTCTTCTGTAATTTTATTTCAATCTTCTGTAGGTTAAAAAAAGGTTAATTTAAACATACTATAAAATTAACTATAAAAATCACAGACTCTGTTAAAAAGATACTAAGGATTCCCTAAATAATTATTAGGGAACTTGGTGAATCCCAAATCTAAGATACTAAGGATTCCCTAAATAATTATTAGGGAACTTGGTGAACCCCAAATCTAGGGCAGATTACTACAGCAAATCACAGTTCAAATCAAACATATTCTCATTAAATCTTCCTATGAACTCAGTCCTTTGATGCATGAAAAAAATGAAAGACCAAACAGTTGCTAGGGGTAGGAATCTTATTTGGAGGAAACAAAGAAATGTACAAGAACCAAGTCTAGGACACCCAAGAATGCCAAATGTCAAAGCAGCACAGGCCAACGCTCAGAGAAACCACTTGGAGTCGACTGGGGAAGCGTACATGGAGAGGCGGGACAGAATTCTGAAGGTCTGGACAGGCACCATCTCCACCAGGGGGAAATCACTGTAGGTGCGAGGTTGACACATAGGTCGAGGATATGTCATACACCGCGGAGGAGTGTGCAAGCCAGCCTCTGTGAATTTGAATTGTGAACCCCTCACCTCCAAACACACCCACACACACCCGAAGAGCAAGACTGGAGGGCCTTAAAAATTCAAAAACCTTCTACAGGCAATGGGGTATCAGTGAAGATTTTTAAAATAGGGAAACATGAGAAAAAAAAATTTTAATTCGGGGGGGGGGTGGTCCTCCCTCTGTTACCAGGCTGGTCTCGTACTCCCGGGCTCAAGCGATCCTCCCGCCTCGGCCTCCCAGAGGGTTGCGATTACAGGCGTGAGCCACCCAAAACCTTTTTTATAGACCGGCTAGACGGCACCGTGGCAACAAGAGGTTAGAAGAGAAAAACTCCAGTGTTCCAAATAGAACGTCTCGCTCCTTCGCTAGACATTCGGCAACTGCTTGAATACCTCGCCAGAAAACAAATCACTCCTGGTGCCGTCGATTTCCGTTTTTCTGAAAGGACTGATTTAGGAAAGCGGGGTGTGGAGGGAAACAGTAAAAAGCCACAGTGAGATCCGCCTGCCTCCTTCCGAAGGGAAAGGGGTAAACCGAAGGCGAATCCTCCCCGGGGACCGAGGCTCGGCACCCGGGCTGCCCGCACCTCGGCGCCAGGAGCGAGCCCCCACACTCGGCAGCCCCGAGCGGGAAAGAGCGCGAGACCGTCGCCAGCTACCTCCACGGCGGCGATCGCTCCACGCCGACAGCAGGGCCAGGCGCGCCGCAGACCCTGAGGACCGCACCAAGCGGCTCCGGCTGCAGTCCCTTAACGAGGGCTCTCGGGGCCAGGGACCGTTAGGACCTGTCACCAAGACAACCATCTCCGCACCTGCGAGGGGACGCGAGAAACGCCGGGGATTGCGCACCGGAGCCGAGGGAATCCAGCCCTCTCGGATCCTCGGAGGGGCGGGAAGCAATGCACTCTGGGAGCTGGAGTCCAGCGTCGAGCCCCGCCCCGGCCACGGGCGGAAATGACTCGGGGCGCCGGCGCTTCCGCGCGATTTCCTTGCTCTCGCCCAATCCCCGCCGCCGCTGGAGAGACAACCAACGTCAGCCTCGACGTTTTCCCGCGAGAGGCGGGTACCGACAGCCTGGAACCGGACGGGGACCCTCCGGGTGAAGTATAGTCGTGCTACTGGCCTCCAGGCTCTGTTCGGTCTGCCGGAAGAGCGCGGTTGAGGTCCGTCCCGCGAGGCAAGATGCTGAAGTCCAAGACCTTCTTGAAAAAGACGCGGGCAGGCGGCGTGATGAAGATCGTGCGTGAGCACTACCTGCGGGACGACATTGGCTGTGGCGCCCCGGGGTGCACGGCTTGCGGCCGGGCGCACGAGGAACCTGCCCTGGAGCTGCAGCCCCAGGACTTGGCGAGCAGCCTCTGCCCGCAGCCGCATTACCTGCTGCCTGACACCAACGTGTTGCTGCACCAGGTGCGTCGGTGGGCGGGAGGACCTGACCCCGCGCCCCCCGGACCGGGCAGGGTGACAGTCGGGGAGACTGAGCCCAGGGAGGCGGGTCTTGGCAGTGTCATACCTAGGGAGAGGCAGACCCCATCGGGACCCACGCTTCCTGTTCCTCAGGCCGAGGTGCTTTTCCTTGTGCGGTTTTATTTAGTGCTTGGAGTCGTATTTTAGACACGTAAATTTTCTAACTCCTGGTGTCTCTTCTGCCTTAGATTGTAAGTGCCGGGAGGCCGGGGACCTGGGCTTCTGTGGCCTCCAGCCTGCGACTCCCAGGCAGCTTGTAAGTGCCTGCGAACGAAACCTATGTGGGCCAACGTATTTCTTTATTATTAGCCTTAATTCTAGAGAGTTTTACGATCGGTCTTTTTAAGTGTGCTCTTTTTAATAGTTCTAAAGGATCGAGTGACTGTTGTCACCTTTTAAATAGCCGAATAGCTCCTTGGTGTAATGTATATTCAGTGTTTTTAAGCCGGCAGCGTTTTATGTTTGACAGAAACAACTGGTAAGTGAATACAGGAAAAAATAACTTTCCTTTCTTTCTTTTTTAAAAGATTGATGTTCTTGAGGATCCTGCCATCAGGAATGTAATTGTGCTACAAACAGTTCTCCAAGAAGTGAGAAATCGGAGTGCCCCGGTGTATAAACGAATCCGAGATGTGACCAGTAACCAAGAGAAGCATTTCTATACTTTCACCAATGAGCATCATAGGTGGGAGGAATATTGTGATTAAATATCAAAAACCCATAGGATGAGCTAAACTTGGGAGAGGGTTCTTGGAACTAATTTGTGATATTGTCAGAACATAACCAGTAGGGTTCATACTTTTTTTTTTTTTTTTTTGGTGCTTACACAGCTGTGCAGAAGAAGGACCTAAGGACACATAGGTATTGGTGGGTCAACCCTAAAAGGAAGGCCAGCTGACTACTAGATTATGGGAGATGCTTTAATTTCCAAAATGATATCATTTTGAATTGGTTTTAGCATGAGTTGAATAGGAGAATGTGGCAAGATTAGATTTGTCTAGGTTCCTGGAATACCGTATTATGTGGAGTCAGCATAGGATAATGAAATGTATTAGATTGTGAAGGAGAGTTTTAAAAATATAAGGCAGATTTATTCTTAATGGGCTTTTAAAAAATTTACTGTCTTACAACTGATTACATAGAATAAGATTAGATTAAGAAATAGAATTCTTGTGTTTTACGTTCAAGACCTTTGAATTTAATGTGTGGTCTTAGAAAATATGATACTGCCTATTATGTTAAATAATCCATGATGGGTATGTATGATACTTATAAGATTAGGTCAGGGTTTCTCAGTTGTGACATTATTAATATATTGAACTGAATCAGTCTTTGTTGTAGGAAAAGACTGTCTTATACATTGCAGGATATTTAGCAGCATTCTTGACCTCTTACCCACTAGATGCCAGTAGCAACCACCACCACCAACACTGAGTTGTAACAACCCAAAAATGTCTCCAGATCTTGCCATGGGTCCCTTGGTGGAGAAATGTAACTGATTGAGAACCATCAGATTAGACTAGAATTCTGTAATGAAATCACATCAGAGTATGCACATTTTTAAGTACCCTAATTTCTCAAAGTTCTTTTTTCTAATATCCTAAATTTAAATATTGTTCTTACAAAGAATACCAGTAAAACACTTGTAGACTTCTTATTCCTACCACTTTCTTGAAATCCAGGAAGTGGAGTATCACTTATTTTTCAGTGGAGAGGGACCAAATTTTTGTAGAGCATCGCCATCAAATTCTTCATCAGGGGTTAGCAGTCTTGTTAGCTTACCAATAGTGGAGTTTGTGGGAAAACCCATGGGACACCTAGGCAAATCTAAGATTTTATTACTCAAGTCCTGTTAAAATCAAATCAGAAATTTATGACCGTATCTTTCACTGATAAGCTTAAAGTTTTGGCAAGTATATTCAACAATGAGGAATAAAATAATTCTAAAACTGTTACTATAAATCAATCTAAAATTCTAAAATCGAATCTAATATTGAGGCACTAGAAACCATGGTACTGAATTTTTCTGTTGTACTTAAAACCTGGCTTTGAAGACAGATTTAAAGAGACAGGTAAATTGCTGACACATTTGGGAGTTCAAAGTGGATAGACTTAGAAGGAGTATGCAGTCATATCTACAATTGGTCATAGTCTCTAGATAGCCCCTGCCAATTATCAAGTGTCTCCCATGGATAATTTCTGTGTGTATTTAATGGTTGTAGAATCATGGAATCATAAATTCTCTGATCATACTACTTGTAGCTTTTAGAAATTGCTGCTAACCTACAGTTCAAATGAAATCTCATTATTAGGCCTGTTAATTTTTATTATAGTTTGTTTTAGCAGACTTACGTATTTAATGTCTCAACCTAAAGTATAGATTCTGATCTTGATTTTTTGTGTGACTTAAAATTGTAATAACCTTTTTATTGTTCCATTAATAACATGATTTTTTTCAAACAACTTGTTTTCTTAAAGACTTAATTGTAAGAATCCTACTTATTACTTGTCTGAGGTGTAAATCTGAATACATTTAAGAAAAAAGATACACCATTGACTTTTTCAGTTTAGTGGTTGTTAAACATTTATGTCCTAAGACATTTTACATATCCTTGTTTCTATTGAAATCCTTTTATTTCTTTTTTTTTTCTTTCCTTTACACTTAGAGAAACCTATATAGAACAAGAACAGGGAGAAAATGCTAATGACAGGAATGATAGAGCCATTCGAGTAGCAGCAAAATGGTACAATGAACATTTAAAGAAAATGTCAGCAGATAACCAGCTGCAGGTTATCTTCATAACAAATGACAGGAAAAACAAAGAGAAAGCTGTAGAAGAAGGAATACCGGCTTTCACTTGTAAGTCTAAATGCAGAAGTGGTAGGTGTGTTTGCAAATGTATATACAAATTATCAGACTGATAGATGTTCACTTGACTATTTCATATTTTCATAGTCCTATATAACTTTTAAAATATATTTTTAAGTTTTTGAGAGACAGGGTCTCACTCTACACCCAGGTTATGCAGTGGCATGATCACGGTTCACCGCAGCCTCAAACACCTGGGCTTAAGAGATCCTCCCATGTCAGCCTCCTGAGTAGCTGGAGCTATAGGCACACATCACCACGCCTAGTAAACTTTGATTTTTTTGTAGAAATAAGATCTCAAGATGTTGCCCAGACTGGTCTTGAACTCCTGGGCTCAAGCAATCCTCCTGCCTCGGCCTCCCAAAGTATTGGGATTACAGGTGTGAGCCACCCTCCTATATTACTTTATGTGATAGTTTTATGTTTTTTAATTTTTCAGAATCTTTAAGCTAAGTTGTGGTACCCAGTGACTTTTAATTTTCCTCAACATTTACAATTGGTTTAGCAATAAAAGTTCATAGATATACTGGACCCACTGCCTTAGCTTAGGCATAATCACATCAACAGATTGGTTGATCAAAAAATTGATCAAAAATTGGTAGGTACACTCAAAAACATGATTACTCCTTATTTCATATATAAGGAAATAGCACTTGAATTTGTCAAGAACAACATAAACTTATTTTTCAGGTGAAGAATATGTAAAAAGCCTAACTGCCAACCCTGAACTCATAGACCGTCTTGCTTGTTTGTCTGAAGAAGGGGTATGTTTGAGTTTGTTTTATTTCGTTTTTGAAAGTTGAGAATTTAAAAATAGCCACTTTGGGATATTAAACTTATAGTTACCAGATTTAAAAATTGGAATGCTGGTGGGTAAGCTGGAATTGCAATAGGTGTTGGGTTATAAACAAGAGTGCCTATAATAGGCTTTTTGAAACGCAATTCCTAAGTTAGTTCACTTTCTAAATAAATATATCCCCAGCCACCTGAGAACGGCCTGGCCCATGATAGCACTATTACTGAGGGGGAAAAATGAATGAAATTGATGGTCCTTTTGTAAACAAGAAGTAGCAGCTTGAGGAGGAAATGGCAGGCACGTAGACAGAGGAAAAAAGCCTGGAAGAAGGGGAGCATCACAAGATGAGGTAAAGCCGAGAGCAGGAGCCAGGTAATGAGGACCTGGAAGTTATTATGTAGATAAGTAATTTTTCAAGTATTGTATAAACATCTCCCTAAGGGGGTGCTATGGAGAGAAGAAGATATCAGATAGGATTCGTAGCTCCCTACATTACAAGGCAGGCTAGGAGAAATGAGGGTATGTGTGGGTGGGGAGCAGAGCAGAATGATCAGAAATTATATTCTTGTGTAAGACTACTCTAATGTTAGCGTGGAAGGAGTACATTTTATCAGGGGAAGGTTGGAGGTAGAAGAGGAATAAAGGGCTCATTGCAGCAGCCAACATGAGAGAGAGGGTCCTAGGGAAAGAATGAACTCGGAGCCTTCATCTACTTAAGTAGAAAGTGTGTTTAGAAATAATGACTGCATAGCATTGTTATGAGGATTAGATGAGATGATAATAGCATTAATAAAATTCACATCAGTGTCTGGCACATAGCTATGGTAAACGTGAAAGGTAGATATTGCTGTTATAAAAATAGGTTTTATGCAGTACATGTACATAGGACAGTATACATCAGTCCGGTCTTGATAACATTTCTCTCATCACTACCTGCCTTTAACCAGCTACTTTATGAAACCAAGGAAATAAGAAGACAGAAAGTGGGCTTGATTTTTGGAATGCAGATGTAAGATTGCCGTAATATTTAGCCACTTAGTTGTATGTGGCTGTTTAAATTTAATAAATAAGCCGGGCTCGGTGGCTCAGCCTGTAATCCTGTGCCTTTGGGAGGCTGAGGTGAGTGGATTGCCTGAGCCCGCGGGTTCGAGACCCGCCTGGGCAGCAAGACCTCATCTCTACAATAAATCAAAAAATCAGCCGGGCGTGGTAGCGCATGCCTGTAATTCCAGCTACTTGAAAGGCTGAGGTGGAAGGATCACCTGAGCCCAGCAGGTCGAGGCTGCGGTGGCCGGAAGCGGCCACTGCACTCCAGTCTGGGTGACAGAGTGAGACTCCAACTCAAAAATAAATAAATAAAAATAAATTTAATAAATATTAAAAGGACAGTTTCTCAGTTCAGTCCAGCTTTCAAGTGCTCAAGAGAAAATTTGCTTTATTAGGCATCGATATTTTCTTCATCACAGAAAGTTGTTTTGGTTAGCAGTGGTCCTCAAATTCATAAAGTTGTATATACCATAATATGGATTTTAAAAAAATTACCTGATACTGATGATAGTTGTGTATTGAGTGAACAGAAGATTTACTAGCTGCATATTTTGGTTGCTTATTTCGTAGAATGAAATAGAAAGTGGAAAAATAATATTTTCAGAGCATCTTCCCTTAAGTAAGCTACAACAAGGGATAAAATCTGGTACATACCTTCAAGGAACATTTAGAGCCAGCAGGGAAAATTATTTAGAAGCTACAGTATGGATTCATGGAGATACTGAAGAAAATAAAGAGGCAAGTATGTAAATAAATTCCTTGTATGTTAAAATACTTTTTGTTTATTTTCTTACTTAATAAATGCTTAAAATTTTGTATGAGAATTTAAATTTGCTTTATCTTTCTAGTTTATCAACTTGAAGGCAGTAATGTAGGATGGTATAGACACTAGCAGAATTAATCATATTTGGAAATTACTAATTGAAGAAACGATCTTTCCATTAGCCCACTTTTACAAGAATAAAAATCTAGTCCATCAAATAATAAGAAATAAGATGCTGTTTTATGTATTACAACCCAGCTATGGTAAATATTATTTGTATAACATGTGAGTCTTCACATTCTTTAAAGCAAATAGTAGTTGTGTTTTTTTTCAGTGCTCACTGTTTGCTAGGTATGCTCTGAATCTTTGCATGTGGCATTTCATTTGATATTCAAACCAACCTATAGAAGTAGGTATTTGTTTTTCCTTGGGCCAATCATGACCCTGAGATTTAGAGAGCACATGTGGTTTTCCCAAGGTCTCAGTACTGTTGGAAGTTATGGAGGAACCATGAACACAGCCTGTATTTTCTGACCCGCATTTTTTCAACTTAATATTGAGACATTAAGGGTATGGAATAAAGAAACACTAAAAAGAAAGAAAAAAATATAAAAGTGAAATAGAGATTATATAGAGAAGTTCAGATTATATATTATATAAACATCTGTTAGGTGAGTTTCTCATTATTATATTGGCATTGAAAATATTTGAACACATGCCATTTGTTTCTTTTGAACAGATACTTTTACAAGGACTTAAACATCTAAACCGAGCTATTCATGAAGATATTGTGGCTGTGGAGCTACTCCCCAAGAGTCAGTGGGTAGCCCCATCTTCTGTGGTTCTACAGGATGAAGGTCAAAATGAAGATGATGTGGAGAAAGAAGAGGAGAGAGAACGATTGGTATGGATTTGGTTTATGACTGTATAGTTTTGTATTGTTAATATTTCAGTTTTGGAGAAGTTAAACAAGTTGGATTGCTTTCAGACTTAGTGAATAGAGTTACAGTTCTGTAAATTTAACACATGCCCTACACATAGTTGATCTTTTCTCTTCTGAGTAGTTTTCTTTTATTGTCTTAATTTGCTCCATTAAATGGGTTTAAGTACAAAAATACTTTATTCAAATATGAAACTGAAAATCTATGTTATGTGATCTAACTTAGGTTTAAGTAAGTACAAACTTAAATTTTTCTGAAATGCCTTAGGTAATGTTAAAATTCCTACAACAGGATGGATGTACTTCTGGGCATGATTAATTTCTTGAGCATATTTTAATTACTCCTTCTCTATTACCATGTTTATTATGAAGATAATGCTTTCAGTTATTTCTTATGAACTAATCTACTTGGTGTGACCTATTTATTTCTCTATTTTATAATTATAAGAATAACATAAATAGGTGGAATAAATATAACATTTGTGTTTTCCCATATTCGGTGCTCTGAGTCTTACTAAAACATTATTATCCTTGGAGTGGCCAGGCCTTTGGAGAGCGTTCAAGGTGAAACACCTTAAGATCTTTCTGCTATTTCTTTTTTTTTTATCAATATTTTTTATTATGATATTGTGGGGCTTTCTGCTATTTCTAATAGCAAACACTCTATTTGGGTTTTTATTTTGGATAAGGAAGAATTTTTAAAAAACATATCTCTTTTTAAATGAAGAAACAAAGGTCCAAAGGGAACTAGTCACCATAACCACATGACTAGGCCAGGTGTGGTGGCTTACACCTGTAATCCCAGCACTTTGGGAGGCTGAGGCGGGAGGATTGCTTGAGCCTGGGAATTTGAGACCAGCCTAGGCAACAAACAAGACTTCATCTCTACAAAAAAATCAAAAGATGAGCCGGGTTTGGTACACAGCGGTAGTCCTAGCTACTTGGGAGCCTGAGGCAGAAGGATTACCTCAGTCCAGGAGTGCAAATTTGTTCCAAAATCCTAGTCTACGAATCCCAGGCTCATGTTGTATTGTAGAATAAATTCACATATTAAACCTAAAAAGAATTGAGTTCTGACATGTTGATTCAGTTATATTTTGCTTTTGGATTGTTTTTGTGGTACTTTATTATTATGAAACAGTTTTTATGGTTTGGTATTTTCTTGTCTAGAATTTTGAAGCATCAATATTCTGTAGTTTTATGTCATAATTTATTACCTGAATGTATTAGTCTCTACATACATATTCTGATTTTGAAGGGAAATGTCCTCATTATACTTACAGGAAAAGTAACTGAAGATTTTTATTTTTATATCTTAGCTTAAGACTACTGTAAGTGAAAAAATGTTAAAGCCTACAGGTAGAGTTGTGGGAATAATAAAAAGGAATTGGAGACCATATTGTGGCATGCTTTCCAAGTCTGATATTAAGGAGGTGAGTAAGGAGTATATTACTATGTAATTTAAAAAGTGCCTCCATTATCAGGTGCTTTGTGTCTGTAAGATCTTTTTTTCCTAATTGTGTCTAGTCAAGAAGACATCTCTTTACACCTGCTGATAAGAGAATCCCTCGAATTCGCATAGAAACCAGGCAAGCTTCAACATTAGAAGGAAGGAGAATTATTGTTGCTATTGATGGTTGGCCCAGAAATTCCAGATATCCAAATGTAAGCTAAAAACATTTACCTTATTTTAGGATATTTATTAAAAATTAATTCAGGACTTTAATTCTAGCACTTTAAAAATGTGAGATGGGAGGATCACTTGAGGCCAGGAGTTTAAGACCAGACTGGGCAAGACAGCAAGACCCCATCTCTACCAAAAAAATTGTGAATAATACTGCTGCTTTTAGTAAAAATATAATCTATTTTTATATAGAATTTATACTGAAACTTTTACTGGGATATTTCACAAAATTTTCTGATAGGTAGTGTATACCAACTGAAAGTGAATTTTATGATATTTCAGTGTAAATCATGATGGCTTTTACTCAGATTTCTAAACAAATAGCTTTTATTGAAAAAGATGTTTGCTCTCCATCACATCTAATCAACGCATTTTGAAGCTATTGCATTTGAAACACTTTTTAGACTTGAAAGTAAGAAAAAAGCAGGTGCTTTGTGGTATAAGAACTGGGCCCTCTTGAAGTCTTCTTCATGAGTCAGTTGAGAGCTTTTATCAGTTTTACCCTTAATTAACCAAGGGGTTATTTTTAAGAAGTTGCTATGGGAACATTTAGAAATACTGAGAGTGATATATACATGCTGAAGAATTTAATATGATAAAATATAAATTAGCTGTAAAATAGACCTTCCTAATCATACCTTTTGGTTTTAGGGACACTTTGTAAAAAATTTAGGTGATGTTGGAGAGAAAGAGACTGAAACAGAAGTTTTGTTGCTTGAGCATGATGTTCCTCATCAGCCTTTTTCACAGGCGGTTCTTAGCTTTCTGCCCAAGATGCCCTGGAGCATTACTGAAAAGGTAAGATGAAAATGATTGGTAGTGACTTTGTACATTACTATATCCTAGTTAGTTTTGTTCAATTTCTACACATGCTTTTACAGATGTAGAAACCATGATCTCCCTCTCCCTGAGTTACTGAAAGATAAATTTTTCAGGAGAGTAGACACTAGCATAGATCAGATTTTTCAAAGGCAGGAAAACCACTAGTTACATATAATATGTGGTTGTCATAAAGAAAATAAAGCTGAGTTGTTTTTATATGGATGTTATTGACTTCACGAGAGCTATTTTGCAATTGTACTATTAGAATGATGTATTTCTTTATAATGTGGCATCTTCTAGGACATGAAAAACCGAGAAGACCTGAGGCATCTGTGTGTTTGTAGTGTGGACCCACCGGGATGTACTGACATAGATGATGCTCTACACTGTAGAGAACTCGAAAATGGAAATTTGGAGGTATTTTTCTTATAATGACATTCTTACCTGAATATAGTGATGTTCTTGAGTTCATTTTCTTTTCACTCAGGATAGAATTTGTGAATTACTCGTGTAAAGTATAACAACAGCTGCAGAAACTAATGGCCATGTGTCAGAAATTGAAATGGTAAATGTGACATTGGGGCTAGGCGTGATGGCTCATGCCTGTAATCCCAGCACTTTGGGAGGCAGAGGCAAGAGGATTGCCCTAGCCCAGGAGTTCAAGACCAGCCTGGGCAACTTGGGTGACCTTGTCTCTACAATAAGTTATTTAAAAAATTGGCTGGGCATGGTGGTGTACACCTATAGTTCCAGCTACTTGGAAGACTGAGGTGGAAGGATCACTTGAGCCCAGCAGGTTGAGGTTGCAGTGGCCATGAGTGTGCCACTATACTCTACATGGGCAACAGAGTAAGACTCCCAACTCAAAAACAGAACAAAATAAAAAAATCCATTGGTACATTTACCCAGTTAAGTATATTGACACTCTTTTACTTTTATCTTCTTAAGGTTGGTGTTCATATTGCTGATGTCAGTCATTTTATTAGGCCAGGTAATGCTTTGGATCAAGAATCAGCCAGAAGAGGTACAACTGTGTATCTTTGTGAAAAGGTAAGTGTGTTGAATGTAAAATTTTTTTTAACAATCATGGGCACATTTCGATTCTTGAGCAGTCACAGTTTGAAATACTATGTGAATTAGCTAAAGGATAAACACAGTATAAGGTGACTTTAAATCACTGAAAATATTGCAGATTTTTGTTATTGAGTGGCCCAGATAACAAAGTATGGTCTCCATAAACTTACAGAGAAAAACTGAAAGTAAAGGGGGAATTGAGCTTAGACTGTTAGGGATTTATTGTTAAAGTTCTTCCAGTAGTCTTTTGCCATAAAAATTTAATTTGTCTTTTTTTTAGTATTTTTAAAATACCTTGTAGTTTGTGTAAAGCATTGGGGAAGGGTCTGATTACAGCTGGTGGGCTTTGTTTCAGTTATCAAGTACAAACTTACATGGGTCAGGATTTAAAAACTTGTAGAGGACAGTGAGGTTGTTAGTGTAGGACTATAACTTAGAATCACTGGCATGAAGTTCAGTTTCTTTCATAACTTACATTATATAACAATTTTGTATAAATGCTTTTCTAGAAACATGTTTTGTTTGGCATTTTTTCAATTCTACTATTCACAAAGACCAGAACACTTTTTTTTCCTTTGTTAATTAATGCCATTTGAGAATAGAAATGCATATAAATGTATGACTGTTGCTAAATAATCTGCAGCTGTTTTTCTTTTACAGAGGATTGACATGGTTCCAGATTTGCTTAGCTCTAACTTATGTTCTTTGAGATGTGATGTTGACAGGTATGTGTGGATGTTTTCTCATAGACGCATTATATTTGCTACTTTAACTGGTTCCCATTAACAAACACTTTCATTTTCCTTCATAGGCTGGCATTTTCATGTATTTGGGAAATGAAACACAATGCTGAAATCTTAAAAACAAGGTTTATCAAAAGTATCATTAATTCAAAGGTTAGTGTCATGCCTAATCTCTTTTTAAAATCTTTGGTACTTTTAACGGTTTTCCAAGATTATTTTGATCAAGTTAGACTTATAAAGTTAGCTGAGACTACAGGTGCACGCCACCACAAAAATTTTTTGTAGAGATGAATTCTCGCTATGTTGCCTAGGCTGGTCCGAACTCCTAGGCTCAAACTGTCCTTACACTTCTCAAAATGCTGAAATTACAGTTGTGAGCCACCAAGCCCAGCCTGCCTTTGTGTTTTGTTTTAGCAATACTTGAGTAAACATTAACTGAAACATGAAAGTAATCAAAGTTTGAACAATTTATTTAGTAACACTACTGCCATTTTACTTAGTTTTTTGTATAGGTTTGCTTATGTTGTATAATACCTCAGATAAGAATTAATGGACCAGAAATCACAGGTGTGAAGTACAGCTATTATAACTGAATTTCTCTTTTGTTTGATTTAGGTTTTCTAAAATCATGGATTTTATGTAGAAATATGAGAACATAAACCATTTTTCTATTATTCACAAGAATTGTATTAACACATGGCTTCTTTTTTAGGCATCTCTTACATATGCTGAAGCTCAGATGAGAATTGATTCAACAACCATGAATGACGACATTACCACCAGTCTCCGTGCACTAAATAAACTAGCCAAAATTCTGAAGAAAAGAAGAATTGAAAAAGGGTATATTGCATTTATCATAGTATTGAGATAATTTGTGGACGCTTAACATTGTTTTTCATGGGCATTGATGAAGTATTTAGTAAGGTGAATAGAGACTCCCATTTCTTTTACCTTCATTTTAAAGATCAGCAATTTGATTCTGGGCTGTTTGTTCAGTAGCTCTGTTCCTGTAACTTGCTTTGCTAAAAAGTATGTGTTAGGTTAAAGATCTTGAAGAAATTCCAGGCAGGCAAGACCTCCTTAAGACAGGAGATTGTTTTTACTTTTAATTAAAAATCATTTCCATAAGGATCTGCAAAGGCATAGAGAATGGTATAATGGACACTGGAGACCCAGAATGGGGAGGGGAGACGAGATGGAGGGACAAAAAAATCACCTCTTGGGTACAGTGTACACAGGTGGGGTGGCGGGTACACAGCCCAGACTTCTTTGCCACTACACAACGCATCATATCACCAAAAAATATTTTTACCCACAAAACTATTGAAATAAAGAAAAAAAATGGGTTTTCAGATTGAACATTGGTTTTCAGAGGCTTAAGTAAGTATAAATGAGGTCCTCCATGCTCTTTAAGTTGGAAGAGATTTCAGAGATGATTTAATTCAACCCCTTCATTTTTTTAAATAACTAAAAGTTGCATGGAAGCAGTCTTCCCACAGATGTGATTACTAGTGGCAAATTGGGGTCTTTTATCATGACATTTGCCTAGTCACCAAGACAGAAAGTAAGAAGTATTAACTCAGACTTGTTGGAGAGAAACAGTTTTAAAAAATTCGGTTCTTGAAAGACATCATTGGAGGAAACCATACAGGAGTCTTTCAGTGCTGCTCTTGGGGTTCCCATGTCCATCCACAATAACGTCACAAGCAGTTACTAAGAGTGTCGTCTGATGATTGCAATTCTACCTCTGCACTGTTTTATACGATGTGTCTATTTAAATGTAAATTCATTAATACCAAATAAAATTAGCAACTTAGTTCCTCAGTCTCACCACATTTTAAGTGCTCAGTGGGCACGTATGGCTAGTGACTGCCATATTATTGAACAGTGCCGATATAGAGGATTTCCATCATCACGGAAAGTTCTGTTGGACAGTGTTGTTCTAGGTAGTTAGGCAAAGCCACACCTATCTCTGCTAATGCCTCAGTTTTCTGAGAATTTTTCATATGATCCTTGAAAAACTGTAAAGATTATTTGGATTTGCTAAAATTTAATAGCAGTTATCAAACTAGAGTAAAACTTTTGCTCAGGCTTGTCACTGAGAAGTAAGGAGTTCAATGATTGGCATTTTTTTGTGTGACACAAAACGACCCAGTTTTTTGGAAAGTCAAGTAAATAAAATACAGATTTTAGTGACTTGGGCAACTTGGTGAGACCTCATCTCTACAATAAATCAAAAATTAGCCGGGTGTGGTAGCGCGCATCTGTAGTTCCAGCTACTTGGAAGGCTGAGGCGGAAGGATCGCCAGAGCCCAGCAGGTCAAGGCTGCGGTGGCTGGGAGCTGCCACTGCACTCCAGTCTGGGCGACAGAATGAGACTCCAACTCAAAAATAAATAAATAAATAAAGTAAGAATTTGCATTTGTAACATAACTTCTCAAAATTAGAAAAAATTTTTTAAATTTTGAAAGCAGTCTGTATTTTTAATTTGGTAAGTAGATGGTCACCTACTGGTTTAAGTTATCGGATTGTCTCAGTTTTAGGGAGAGTTGAGAAGAGTCAGTAAAAAAAAATAATAATAATAAAGACTGGGTACAGTGGTTCACGCCTGTAATCCCAGCACTTTTGGAGGTAGAGGCAAGAGGATTTCCTGAGCCCAGGGGTTCGAGACCAGCCAGGGGAGCTTGATGAGACCTCATCTCTACAGTAAATCAAAAAATAAACCAGACATGGTGGTGTGTGCTCATAGTTTCATCTACTTGGAAGGTTGATACGGAAGGATCACCTGAGCCCAGCAGGTCAAGGCTGCAATAGCCCTGAATGTGCCACTGCACTCTGACCTGGGCGACAGAGTAAAACTGTGACTCAAAAACAAACAAAAACCATCTTTTGCCTTCTTAAGTATTCTCATGGGTAGGCATCATATTTTAGATATTCTATGAAGAAAAATAATTAAAATGTGATCAAAAATCGCATTTTATGTCAAGATTCATTACTAAACACATATCTGATGTAGAACCTTGTTTTAAGTATGTATTCCTACTGTACTTTGAGAAGTTGAGGAAGAAAAGGTCTTGGTATCTCATTTAACTTGCTCCATCTCCTTTTTTTCCCTTCCATGTCTTTTCTTGCTCTGTGATTGTTTAAGGTTGCCCAGCCTCACTAAAATTCTTAGTTTTAGGTAGGTTTGGAGCTGACTGATGACAGTAATGTCATGATGTGAAGAAATATTAGACTTGCCTTGCCTTGCAGGAGTTTACTTTTCAAAGGAAAACTTGGGAACTGATCAAATGAATCATGCATGTAAAGCCTTTAGTGGAGAATGCTACCTGACACATAGCACTCAAATATTAACAGCCGTTAGCCCTTGTAACATTAGTGATAGGTTTTCGGTCTCCATGTGACCGGTTGAGTTTATGGAAGATATTGTAGCATGTGGGTCTTCTTATCTTACTAAGCTATCCATGGCAGCTCCCCGTTTGCCAGTTTTCATTGTCTCTCATCCCAGTACATCATTTTCCATAGCAAATAAAGACTGCCGGTTATCTTCTTTATTTGTAAAAGTGATTACCAATGTATGTAGCTATGTAAAATCTCAGTCAGGCTACAGAAGATAAAACCCTCAGAAGCAAGGGACTAAGATTTTCTTGTTGCTAATGTCCTCTCTTGTTAAATGCATTTTATTTATTTATTTATTTTTATTTTTATTTTTTTTGAGTTGGAGTCTCACTCTGTCGCCCAGACTGGAGTGCAGTGGCCGCTTCCAGCCACCGCAGCCTCCACCTGCTGGGCTCCGGCCATCCTTCTGCCTCAGCCTTCCGAGTAGCCGGAATTACAGGCGCGCGCTACCACGCCCGGCTAATTTTTTGATTTATTGTAGAGATGAAGTCTCGCCTGCCCAGGCGGGTCTCAAACCCACAGGCTCAGGCAATCTACTCACCTCAGCCTCCCAAGGCGCGGGCTTACAGGCTGAGCCACCGAGCCTGGCTTAAATGCATTTTAAATCTCTAAAATATTAAGTTATTCGTGAAAACAGGACATAAGACATAGCAGAAGAGCAGTTGTTACACACTTGCTGCAGTCATTATCTATTTTAAAATAATCATTTTCTGAGTTTAGACACGGTATTAGCTCGCTTGACTCTAATTTAACTCTTTAATATTTATTTAGGGCTTTGACTCTCTCTTCTCCTGAAGTTCGATTCCACATGGACAGTGAAACTCATGATCCTGTAGATCTTCAGACGAAGGAACTTAGGTATGCAATTTTTTTGATGGGCAGTAGATAAGATTTTTATTTTAAATGTAACATCTATTTTTTATACCTTAATAACTAAAACATATATTCAAAATATCTATTAGGGTCATGATTTCTATAGAGTTGCTTAGCTTATGAAATACATAGAAAAGTAAATTTGAGCTCACTTTTTAGCTTTTTTAATATAAAACTGGCATTACTATTATAATAGAAAAACTTTCCATTTGAATGTGTTTGCTTTGATGTATGATATGTTTTATATATATATATATATGTATATGTATACAGACTTTGAGTAGTAATAGCTACAGTAAGTAAAATAAGATTGCCAAGATGAATTTCTCAAGTACTGTACTTAATATAGAATATCCTGTGGTAGGATAGACTCATGGTCAGGACCATGAGCTTTGAAGCCTCCTTAGGCTTGGCTGTCATTGCTGTTTCCAGCTAGTTATTTGGCTTCTCTATGCCTCAACTTATGTGTCTATAAGTTGTCTAGGATTGATAATGCTTCCTACCTCATAGGTTTTGTTTTATTGATTTAGTTAAGATGTAGGAAGCAAGGATATTTTAGGTTAAATCAATTTAGGCCTCTCTCCATGCCTCTTGTTTATATAAGGTAATTCTGAAACTAAACATATTCATACACGTTTCTAGTAGATGATCTCCAAGGATTAAAAATGGAAATGATTTCTTTATTTAGTCTAGTGTGTACTTTAGTGTTTGGGAGGTAAACTTTAAAAATTTTTAGGAAGGAACTTCTATGCAAGCATGTTTGATGTGTATACTAACAGTGAGTCCAATACTAGAAGCTTTTTTGAGGAAAGGATTGACTCTGATTGTGCCACAGTAGAATATCACCCATTTCTTTTTTTACCAAGAAGAATAAAAATCACATTTCTAAGATACTGTCTGCATATGAGTGGAGGTCTTCCTAATACTTTGAAAATTAATATACTTTAGGAGTCTTGTCAAGATATTATTAAAAATGAAAACATGAATGAAAGATTAATAATGCATGTTTAGTGACCTGGGAGAAAGAAAGCACTATAATAAAAGGCAGGCCACTTACTAAAGTAAGCTTAAGATGTACATAAATACCTATATATAGAATGAAAGCAATATCAGATTGGTTAAGAGTTTTGAATTCAGATTGTATAGATTCAAATTCTGATCCTGTTGTTAACTCTGATCTCAAGCAAGAGAATAATGTACATCTTCAGTTTTCTTATCAGTAAAACAGGGTCTGGGTATGTGTGTGTGTGTGTCTGTGTGTGTGTAGTTAGAGCTTAATTCCTGGCCCGATAAGTATTCAAATTAGCTATCGTAAGTATGATCTCTTCATTTTAATAGCTTATTGGTGAAAATTTTAATTTTTTAAGCCAGAACTTGCACAACCTAAATACCTTTTAATTCTTCCCCCTCAAAATATGTATTTATAAAATTAATAAAAATCTCTTTGTACCTAGTAAAAGGAAGTGAAAATACTTACATTTTAGTTTTATATATTAACAGAGTTAGTAAAGCATCTATATTTTATTTATTTATTTATTTTGAGTTGGGTCTCACTTATCACCCAGGCTGGAATGCAGTGACAAGATCACGACTCACCTCCTCAACCTCCTGGGCTCCAGTAATCCTCTTGCCTTAGCCTCCCAAGTAGCGGGACTACAGGTGCATGCCACCATACCAGCTAATTTTTAAATTTTTTTTTGTTAAGATAAGGTCTTGCTTTGTTGCCCAGGCAGGTTTCAAACTCCTGGCCTCAAGCTGTCATTATCCTCTTACTTCAGCCTCTTGAAGTACTGGGATTACAGGGGCGAACCACTGTGCCTGACTAGAAATGCTTTTGTTATCCTGTTGGTATAAAAGGTAACCTGTGAATAAATATCTAGAAGTCTTAGATTCTTTTTTTTTATTAAATACTTTTTCCACTGGCAGAGAAACAAATTCTATGGTGGAAGAGTTTATGTTACTTGCCAATGTCTCTGTTGCAAAAAAAATTTACGAAGAATTTTCCGAACATGCTTTGCTTCGAAAACATCCTGCTCCACCTCCATCAAATTATGAAATTCTTGTTAAGGCAGCCAAGTCCAAGGTAAAGTCCTGCAGTTTGAAATAGCCTCTGTATTTGTGTTGTGATCTATCCATTGCACTGAAAGATTATGTTCCTATCTTTGATAAAAATTTTGTTGCCACAAAAATAAATCTGTAGGTCTTTTGATTAAAAAAAATTAATTTGGATATGGTCATCTCTTCCTGCATTAATAAAACATTTTAATAAAGAGCACCCTATGCTAAGCCAGATATTTAAGTTAGGGCTATGCAGCATGCTGCGCATATAACGCTCTTCCCTATCTCTGTGCACATGTATTTTGTCTGTGTTGCTTTATGGCTCCTATGAACTGCTTAACCTAAATTTACAAATAGTGTTTCTCTTTATTTCATCTCAGTTAAACCTTCTTCATATCTTGTCCCTAAGAAGTCTATTCATTGCATACATGAGAAAGGGGAAAGTAGAGAAAGGGCACCGTTTTCAGCCCTGCACACCCTGCCTCGAGTTAGTGGCCTTTCCTTTAGGCATATTACCCCTGGGGTGACTGATTTACATTGGTTTTCCCTGGATTACATAGTTAGGCCCTGTCTTTCCTGTCTAGAAGGGCGCTAGAAGGAGTAGTGTTGGATTGTAGGGCATTATTCTAACAGGATGGCGTTGGTTTCTGATTTTAGCTCAGATCTTTATGGTGTATGCACCTACCCATTCCATATCAGAATTGGATCCGCCTCTTACTCCTCTGCTCCAAGGCTCACTCTGTAAATGGTAGATTTTCCTTCACCGTTTTTATTTTTTCCTAAGACCTAGGTAGAGCAAGGATGATTTAAGACTGACTTATCTCCCTAGGATGAAACAAACAGTTAAGTTGGATGAACCAGGATGTTGTTCTGACTGCACTGTAGTGACTAGTGTTGCTTTGTTTCTGACCTTTGCCTGTACTTTGCAAAGGAAAGCAACAAAATAACAAAGGAAAATAACAAAGTAATAAGGAAAATAACGAAAACACAATGTTCAGTCTGATTAGTTACATTTTGAAGACATGATGATACTGATGTAGAAATGTTTAATACGATGCTCTTCCTTCCTATTTATTTACAGAATTTGGAAATTAAGACCGACACAGCCAAGTCTTTGGCTGACTCTTTGGACCGGGCCGAATCGTCTACTTTTCCATATCTAAATACTCTGTTAAGAATATTAGCCACTCGCTGTATGATGCAAGCTGTGTACTTCTGTTCTGGAATGGATAATGATTTTCACCACTATGGCTTAGCATCCCCAATATACACACATTTTACTTCACCTATCAGAAGGTATTTTTTTTATTATGAAACTAAGGGAGATAGAAAATAGTTAATTTTGAATGTTAAAAAGATATTTGAATACTAACATACCATGGCTCTTATTTCTCCTTCATACACCTAGATATGCAGACATCATTGTCCATCGGCTGTTGGCTGTAGCTATCGGGGCTGACTGTACTTACCCAGAGTTGACGGACAAACACAAGCTTGCAGATATTTGTAAAAATCTCAATTTCCGGCACAAGATGGCTCAATATGCCCAGCGTGCATCGGTGGCTTTTCATACCCAGGTATTTGCCTTCCATGGGTAATGCTAGGAAAGGTGACGTTTTGTTCATTTTTTACTCCAGAGTTTGTTAATTTCAAGATGTTTTAAGACTTTTTAATAAGATTGTGTGTTATTTTACAGTTATTTTTCAAAAGCAAAGGAATAGTAAGTGAAGAAGCCTATATTCTGTTTGTAAGAAAGAATGCTATTGTGGTGTTAATTCCAAAGTATGGCTTAGAAGGGACAGTCTTTTTTGAAGAAAAGGACAAACCAAAGCCACGGCTTATTTATGATGATGAGGTACAGTATTTCTAATGTTTTGTTTACGTGGGAAGGGGGCACTTTGTTTTTGACAGTTCACAAAATGGTACCTATGATGCATGAACATGTTTTGTACCCTACAGAATTTATTCTTATCTCTTAAATACATGCCAGATAGCCGGGTGTGGTAGTGCATGCCTGTAGTTCCAGCTACTTGGAAGGCTGAGGCGGAAGGATCGCCAGAGCCCAGCAGGTCAAGGATGTGGTGGCCAGGAGCGTGCCACTGCACTCCAGTCTGGGTGACAGAATGAAACTCCAACTCAAAAAAAAAAAAACCATGCCAGAAAAGCTACATTTAATTATGCCAGCCAAGTTGGAGTTGTACTCAGTTTCTCACCTCCAGATATCTTCCCACATGTTGTCCTTGGTATCCTTCTTTTATACCACATAAACTTTTGTCCTAGGTGGATGAATAGATTAAAGTAAAGGAATAAATGGCTGCTCATAACTCAGGGAAGGACTTTTTTTAAACTTACTTCCAGTGTCTCTTGTTTGACACAGTTCCTATCCCCTCACCTTAGAACCACAACTATAAGAGAATATTTAAACAATACACTCTGCCTGAAGCACCATTGTGTTCCTTTACTAGACCAGCCATTTGCTAATTAGTGGGCTGAGAATCCCAAGATTAATGAATATGTTGAAGCCACCTTCATGAAAGGAGAAAGTGTGCACGTAGGTCATATTTAGATGAGGCTACTAGGTTTATGGTCTCTGTTATATTAAATACCTAGATGCTTATATTTAGTAATTTTTAAATTTAGATTTTATTTTTATTTATTTATTTATTTTATTTTAATTTTTTTGAGTTGGAGTCTCACTCTTGCCCAGACTGGAGTGCAGTGGCCGCTCCCGGCCACCGCAGCCTCGACCTGCTGGGCTCCGGCGATCCTTCCGCCTCAGCCTTCCGAGTAGCCGGAATGACAGGCATGTGCTACCACGCCCGGCTGATTTTTTTATTTATTATAGAGATGAGGTCTTGCCAAGTTGCCCAAGTGGGTCTCAAACCCGCAGGCTTAGGCAGTCCACTCACTTCAGCCTCCCAAGGGCGTGGGATTACAGGCTGAGCCACCGAGTCCAGCTTAAATTTAGACTTTTAAATTACTATGAAAGATAAACTGTAAAGAATTAGAACAAAGTCTCAAATGTAAGAAAGCAATTAAGAATGATACAATGTGTTTTGTTTAGATACCCTCACTTAAAATAGAAGATACAGTATTCCATGTATTTGATAAAGTTAAAGTGAAAATCATGTTAGACTCATCTAATCTTCAGCATCAGAAAATCCGGATGTCCCTGGTAGAACCACAGGTAAGACAAAATTTATAATTCCCAAGCTGTGATAGAATGAGTACATATTCAGTCAAAGAGGGATATAGTTATGTTATTTGTGTTTAATGTTAGAAGGATCCCGTAAGTGGTGTGGAGGCCACATACATGCATAGCAAATGCTGTTTTCTCACTGATTTCCCTAGGCCATGGGATCCCAGACATCTGAGATTCTTCTGAGGTATCTGTTGCCAAAATCAAAGATCTTTCACTTCTGCCCAGTCTTTTTTCTCTGTAGGTTTTTCACTTAAGATCCTGGTTCTTAGCCTTTGTCTTGCTCCAACACCCTTGAGGCCTCTGATTCTATTAATCATTGTGGTCTACTAGTACAGTGGACTGGAAAGGATGTATTACAATTAAAATCACACTTCCCAGATGACATGCTTCTCACCTATGAGGACTCTGTCTACATTTTACATTTTAGAACTACTGTCCTTACTGTGTAAAATATATATACTTTGTGTATAAAACCTTTATTAGTCCCTTCCCACCTCTACATTCTTTCAAACTTGACAGTGGCCATGGGGAAGGGGAAGATGAGGATGAACTTCATTTTATTCTTTTAATCACCTTATTTTTCCCCATTTGCATTATTTTAGATACCAGGAATAAGCATTTCAAACATGGATCTTAATGAACCAGAGAAAAAGAAGATGAAGCTTGAAAAATAGCTATATTCAACAACAATAAAAAAAACCCTTCAAAGACTGGTTTCCTTTTTAGAAGAAAAAAAACTTGAGAGAACACATCTACGCTTATGTGTGTGATACAGTTTATTACTCTTAAGTACATTTTAATAATTTTAGAAGTTTGCATTTTTATTGAACTGTTGACTGTGTCTGTACCATCACACTACTTGATTTCTGGGTTGAACAGAACTATTTTATGTAGAAAAATTCAACTGAATATCCATCACTTAAAAGTGACAGGATAGCAACTTCAGGGATCGGTAAAGATCAGTTAAATGGAGCACTCATCTTATTGAGGAGCAGATATATTTTGCATAAGTAAGTACTTTGATTATTTAATACTGGTGGAAAAAGTCTACCATTTTCTTACAGAGACAAATTAGAGCATTTTTAGAAACAAGGAACGATCACTGCTTTCTCTTAGAAGCTGTCAGTGTTTAGTATACATCTCCTTTGCTATCTTAAATTTACCTTACATTAAGTGTTCTCTTACTGTGTTAAAAAGCCTCCTGTATTTCATTAGTGGTCCTTGAACAGCTGTGAATGTTTGTTTGAAATTTGGTAGGAAGACAAGAAGTAGGATACTTTGACTAGACTGGACTTTTTTTTTTTTAATTACCAGGTAATAAAGGTGATCATTATCTTTGACCTTTAGCTCCAGTGCCTTTACAAAATAAGACATTAAGAGTTCAAAGAGAATAGAGATGGTACTTTAAATGTCTGCATCTTGTTACTTATGAAATTAAAACAGATAATTAGTGACTTTTCTATTGCAGTTATATCAGATTATATAGGAAAGGGGTAATTGTATAAGGACATATTAAAAGGAACAGATTAAAGTAAGCATTAGGCCAGGCATGGTGGCTCACACCTGTAATCCCAGCACTGTGAGAGGTTGAGACCAGAGGTTTGCTTGAGGCCAGGAGTTTGAGACCAGCCTGGACAATATAAATATAGCAAGACCAATCTCTACAAAAAATAAAAAATTAAGTAGCCAGGCATCATGGCTCATGCCTGTAGTCCCAGCTATTGGGGAGGCTGAGGCAAGTGAATCCCTGAGCCAAAGAGTTCAAGGCTGCAGTGAGCTATAATTGTGCTACTGTACTCCAGCCTGGATGACAGAGCAAAACCTTGTCTCAAAAAAAAAAAGAAAAAAAAAAAAAGAAAAAAGGAGGGGGGGCAGATCTACTTCATTTAAAAAGAGCTAGTGGCTTTTCTTAATAAATATTATAATTTGGTGTACCAGATTGACTTCTTCCCTTGCTAATTCGTGTTTCTAAGAATATTTTGAGATAGCATTACCTTCAAACATTTCATTTTGCTTATTCAGTTTTTAAAGCACTTATGGTACACCAGGTTCAACATCAAGTAAACTCTCTGCCTTCAAAGAGACTGCACTACAGAGAAAAGGCTGACAACTACATCAGCAGGTATACTAAGTGGGTGTAATTACAATCATGTTTGCACTCAGTAATTGTTAATGATTTTTCCTGCTACTGAGGAAAATATACATTGAGGCAAAACTTGTGTCAGTTGAAGACAGACAGACTTGCGTAGTCTTTAGTCCAAGTAAAAAGGGTCAGTGACTAATACACTAGAGCGATAGTCAGCAGACCTTTTCTGGAAAGGACAGAACATTTTAGACTTTGTTGGTTGTGGTCTCTGTCACAACTATAGTACCCAACTCTGCTCCTGATAGTAATAGGTTAACCAATAAACATGGCTGTGATCCAATAAACTTTATGGACAGGGAGATTTGAGTTTCATATACAGCCATGCATCACTTAGAAGACAGGAATGTGCTCTGAGAAACGTGTCAGACAATTTCATCATTATGTGGACATAACGAACTTACACAAACATAGATGATCTAGCCTTCTACAGCCCTAGGCTATCTGGTATAGCTTATTGCTTTTAGGGTACAAACATGCACCAATGTCACTACTGAATACTACAGGCCATTGTAACACAATGCTAAGTATCTGTGTCTAAACAGACTAAACAGAAAAGAAACTAAGAATACAGTATAAAAGATTAAAAAGGTTGGGTGCAATGGCTCACGCCTGTAATCCCAACACTTTGAGTGAGAGGCTGAGGCGGGAGGATTGCTTGAGCTCTGGAGTTTGAGACCAGCCTGGGCAACATATTGAGACCGTGGCTTTACAAAAAATAATAAATTAGCAGGTGTGCTGGCACATGGCTATAGTCCCAATTCAGGAGGCTGAAGCGGAAGGATCACCTGAGCCCAGGACGTCGAGGATTCAGTAAGCTGTGACCGTGCCACTACACTCCAGGCTTGGTAACAGTGAGACCCTGACTCAAAAAAAAAAAAAAAAAAAATTACAAAATGGGTACTTATGAATGGAGCTTGTAGGACTGGGGGTTGTTTTGGGTAAGGCAGTAAGTGGTGAGTGATAAATACTTAACACTCAGGCAATATTAAGTTTATTAAAAGTAAAGTAATTGCATTATGGTGTTATCGTGGCTATGACATAATTAGGTTACAAGAGTTTTTCAGCTTCATTGTAATCTTATGGGACCATCATCATATATGTGGTCCATCATTGACTGAAAACAGTTACACAGTGTGTTACTAATTTTTATGTGTTACAGTTTGACTCCCCCTGCCAATCATTTAAAAACTGCCTGCAAGCCATAGCTTACCTGCAGCAGAGGAAAAGGGGAACCTCTTGGTAAAGGAAGGTAGTACGTGGCTGGCCTTTTGTTTATTATTTTTCCAAGTTTGTTTTCTTGTGTCTCAGTTATGAGTAAGATTTAAAGTTCAGGCAGTAGTCCCAAGTGTTGTTCAAATGATCAGAAACCTTGTTATTTTCCTCTAAGTCCTCTTTGGTAATCACAAATGTTTTGTTTCTAGTGCCAGTTCTTATGCTAAGCAGCTTAAATGAACTGTTTCATTTAAAACTCAAAAAGTCCTGTTAGGCAGGACTATTATCTCCCTTTAACAGATGAGAATATTAAGGATTATGGCCCAGATCAAGTAGTAAGTGACAGAAGGATTTGAACCCTGGCTGTAATCACTGCTCAGTTCTTTCTTGATTGTGCTACTAAAAATTTGTAGCCAGGGAGGCTCCTACCCTTGGGACCCACATCTCCTCTTCTGTATAGCAGTTGTTTTTTTTGTTTGTTTTTTTTGAGTTAGATTCTCACTCTGTCGCCCAGACTGGAGTGCGGTGGCCGCTCCCGGCCACTGCAGCCTCGACCTGCTGGGCTTCGGCGATCCTTCCACCTCAGCCTTCCGAGTAGCCGGAATTACAGGCATGCACTACCACGTCAGGCTGATTTTTTGATTTATTGTAGAGATGAGGTCTCGCTGCCCAGGCGGGTCTCGAACCCGCGGGCTTAGGCAATCCACTCACCTCCCAAAGGCACGGAATTACAGGCTGAGCCATCCAGCCCGGCTAGCAGTTGTTTTTAAGTAAATGTATAGTGCCTCTAAAGTCCATGTGGTTAAAGACTCGGCTTTCCAATGCAGCACGTTCAGCCAGGGGCCTAATGGCTAACGGATGTCATGGTTTGCGTGCTGGTGAAGCAGTTGCACCAGATACATGAGAAGGCATGTTTTCTGCAGGTCAGCAAGAAGCTTACAAGTTATGGAGTAAGGAAGATGACACAGTGATAATATATGTCTTTATTTCCTGAGTCTACATAGGGATTATTCCTTTTTGAATCAGACAGTTTTTAAAAGATGATTCATAAGTACAAATATAGATTCTCCAGAGATAATATTTCCAAGCATGATATATATATTCATCTACTCCCAGCCCGGATATGTTTTTTTTTTCCTTAAAGATAGCTGTACCCAACCGTACTTCTTAGGTGTGAGCCCTGTAGGGACTCCACTGTCTCCTGGTTCTCCCATATTCTTACTCCTTTCCCAGCCACATCCCAGCTGGAAAGGATGTACCTAACCTAGAGGTGGAGACGTGTTTTACTCTGGGAAGTAACAGATAACAACACACATGATGACACTGCTAGTGCTACCTTTCTAGTATTTACGTTTTTTTTTTTAAAGTAGTATCAAGAGCAGTTATCACTGAACTGAGAATTTTCTCCAGAGAAGTGAAAAAATAGTTTAAGAACTAAAATTTCAGGAAACCCGTTGACTGTCCTTTTTGTCTTAGTTTTATATCTAAACACTTCTTCCACATAGGTTATAATTTAAATTCATCTATGTTTGTACGTTTTTATATAAAAGCGTATAGTGTCTTCAGTTTTAATATATTTTAATATGTTCTCAGAATTGCTAAATTCAGTGCTGTCAGTAAGGCTTCATAAACAGCTTACTGACCCTGTAGGATAGCAGCAATCAGCTATGTCACAGTTTTTTATTAAGCACATCATGAGGTCAATATAAAAATATTTATTGATAAAATAAACTTATAATTCAGTAACCTGAAATTCCAGAGCTTTCCTGTTGTTCCCATGTCACTAAATTTAAGCCCTTGATTTTTCACATTGAGGGAAAGAAAGCTAAGGATGTTACTTGAAGCAGATTTTCCCCAATCACCATCACATTATTGAATTTGTGCATAAGAATACGCAAGGAGTTATTTAGCAATGGGCTTTGGCTCTGATAGGGGCATTCTATGGACTGCTGCGCTGAAGAGGACTTGTTTTCATCCAGCACCTCGGTGTTGTGTGGTCTTGCTGTGAAAAAGAAGATGATACCTTGTTTTCAGTTTAAATAGGACCATTCAAGGAGGCAACTGTTATCTGAACTTTTAAAACCTGAATGCAGTTTTTTTTTAGCTGAACTCTAAAGCTAGAATAAGGATAATTTTTTACAAATCAATATTCTGTATAAAAAATAATCCTCATGTATCTTAATGCCTACTTACGTTTAGATGGATAACTACAATCCTGCTTCCTGAAACAGGATGGACCTTGTTCAAGTTAATCTTAGAAGAAACCTGTTCTGACACTGTATAACAGAAAGGCAAGATGGAGGAAAGGGAAAAAATGGTGGCCTATCTATTAAGCTTTGGCTGCACATTTGCTGATGTTTCTAATGTTTTAAGAAACTGGCATACAAACTCAAAGACTGTCCTGACAGGTGCCTAACATGATGATGGCTTTCCTCAAGCATGAATATGTAATATTAGTATATGGGTACAAAGGTTCAATAAGTATACAAAAAAGGTATACTAAAAGGTATAACTCCTTTGTAGAAATAGTTGGTGGTATATAAGATACTTATGTGTTGTCTCATTTAGAGCACCTGAAGGCTTTAAAGGCTACTGGATTTTGAGAAAAGCCTTTTCTTTTCGTGTCTTTAATTTGATATATAGTTTCTCAACAGTACTGTTCTCTATTAATCTAAATTTTTTCCGTTTAGCTTTGAGATGTCTTGGAAATATTTCAAAGGAGACAAAATGAACATGAGAGGAAAAGCTCAGATTCTTCTAACGTAGAGCCAGTTCCCCCTCTCCTCAGCCTATTCACCCTCCCACCGGGCAGGAGTTAGAAAGGGGAGGCGGTCTGACTTCAAAACCACCTCCTACTATGAAGTGAATTGAGGACAGGACAAGGTAGAAAGAGATGACATCTTAAACAGTTAACAAAATTTCAAACAGAATGGAAGATAAATTGATGGAAAAAAGGAAACATTTAGTAAATGCTAGCCTGTAACAACTGTATGCTTGCTATTTTCTCCATACCTTTACATTAAAAGCTTGAGATTTATTCTCCATGTCAAAGGTTTGTGCATCACTTTCCTTGCAGTAACTTTCTGTCCCAACAGTATCCATAGTGTTGGTCCCACAGTTCTGCGTATTATAGCCACTGTCCATCTGCAGGAAGGAGAAAACACCTGAGGATAAAATTTACTGTGAGGAACTTAAAAGGATTTAAATAAGAAATCACTACATACCATCAGTTGCTACATCTGAACAATACAATGTAATATTAAATGTTGATCATTCTGAGTGAAATTTAAAATTAATACATAAATATAAAACGTAGCTTTACATAGAACTGATGGTTGTAGTCACTTTACAATTCCTCCCAATGAAATGTATCTGTAATTTCCTTTAGGATCATTGAACAATCCACTGAGAACATGTTTTCCTGTTACTTTGTGATCATACCTAGAGATGAAAATGAGGATTATAATCAAGTTCATCTTCCAACTTATTTTCCAAGCTTCTCTCTAAATGGCTTGGCTGTACCTCTAAACAAAATTTACCGAAAAGCATGCTGCCTTTGAGAGTATTCAAAATAATGCTCATTCTTTAAAAGGTGGGTTATATTATACTCATACATAATTGTTCATATAATGCCACATGTATGGTGGTTCTAGATGTTCATTTTCATGGTAATAAAAATCATAGCATTCTAATGCACACTGTTTTGGCCCAGAAGAGCAAAAGAAAAAGATTCCAGCAAACTTTACTTGGTATACATATAATAAACATTTACTGGGTGCATAAAAAAAGGCCAGGCACTCTATATGATACTGTTTTTTCTCCTTTCAACAAACTTATTACTTTACAGATGACAAAGCTAAGACTCAGGCTAACTTTCACAATGTCATTCAGTAATGAGTTGATGAAGACATCCATTTACCTGCATGCTGCAGAGTACCCAACAAAACAACCCACAACAGAGTCACCTTGCACTTAGTCCTTCCCTGCAAATAGGATCAGAAGGAAGGCAGACGATGACTAATTTGCTCCCCTCGCAAGTGTTGAGAATAGCCTCGAAAGTGCATTTTATCACTCCTAATCCTAAGAAAAAAAAAGTTTCCAGTTTTCAGGGCTGGACATACGTCTGCTCACTGCAGGGAGTCATGTTTTTAGAAAAAAGCCTTGTGACATGTAAAATAAAAACCAGGGGAACATCTTGTGCTGCTACCATTCATAGCTATTTGATTAAAAAAACATAAATATCAGATTGCTTCCAGAGAATCTGCCAGTTACTTTTCTAATACCACTGCCAAATAACTGGCTCACAACTCAATACTGAAACATAACTGAATATAACAAGGCAAGTTCCTCAATAGTACAGGAGGGAGTAAGAAGACACACCGGGAGATTGTCCCACTCCAAAGAAAGAGGGATCAAGGAGCCCCACTAAGTGACAGGTGGCTGTCCCCACTCATCTGGATTATTACCGATGTCAATGCCTAATATGTAGCAACCAGATAATACAGATCATCTTAGTGCTCACCCCCACAGGCATCAAGGTAGGCACTCTATCACTTTAAAGCTAAGAAGGATGAGGTGCTAAAAATAAAAAAGTCATGCTCTAGTCACTGTGAAGTGAATCTTGACTTAAGCTCCCACAACTTGGAAATAAGAGAACTCCAATTCAAACTTAGTTCTGATTACAAAGTGTATATTCCGGTTGGGCCATGTTGCCTTTAAATGGCATCTCTAAATCAGTCATCTTCCATACACTTTGTTGCTAAATTACTTTTCTACTTCATAAATCAGATGTCACTATCTTTTAAAAATGGTTTACAGTTGGCAAAAGTTGTGTCTCACCATGAAATTCCTTGAAATCTGGCCCCAGCACATTGACCCTTACCTCGCCCTTCTCAGTGCTTCAATCAGAAGACCTTGTCTCCCAGTACTACTTGTTTTGGCTGTTCTTATTTTTAAACTAACATACAACTGAACATATTTATGAGATACAGCATGATGTTTCTGATACATGCTTACAATGTATAATGATCAAATCAGGATAATTAGCTATCCATTAGCTCACATTTCTTTGTATTGGGAATATTCAAAATCTGTTCTTTAGCTATTTGAAAATATACAATAAATTGCTGATAATTACAGTCACTCTATAGTGCTACAGAACACTATAGGACGTATTCTTGACCAGTTGTACTTGTGCAGCTGTTAATCAACCTTTGGCTACCCCTTCTCTTCCCTATCCTACCCAGCCCCTAATAACCACAATTGCACTTTCTATGAGATCAGCTCTTTTAGCTTCCACACGTGAGTGAGAATGTGATATTTATCTTTCTGTGCCTGGTTTATTTCACTTAACATAATGACCGCCAGGCTCATTCATGTTGCCTCGAATGACAGAATTTCGTCTTGCTTTATGGCACTAGTATTCCATTGTATATGCGTACATTTTATTTATCCATTCATCTGCTGATGGACACTTAGATTGATTCTGTATCTTGGTTATTGTGAACAGTGATGTACAATGAACATGGGAGTGCAGAGACCTCTTTGATATACTGATTTTCTTTCCTTTGGATAGAACTGAGCAGTGGAACTGCTAGGTCACATGGTAGTTCTATTTTCAGTTTTGTGAGGAAACTCCCTACTGCTTTTCATAATGGCTGTACTGATTTACATTCCCACCAGCAGTGCCATTTCTACTTATTGGAAACCAATAGTGTTCAGGCACTGTTTACTCACTTAACTAATCACAGTGATCTTACTATTATCCTGTAATCCTATTATTATCCCCATTTAAAGAAGAGGAAACAAGCTGAAAGAAGTTGTCGCTTTCTGGAATTTATAAAGCTAGAGGGCTAGACTATAAGTTAAAATCTGCTATTATGCCTTCCCAATAATAATTAATAACATGCTCATCCCTCAACCACAGACCTTTGCACCCACACTTGTTCCTGCCCCTGCCCTCCTATAAAGTGGAAGGGCGACCTCTGCTAATCCTTCCAGGGCTCTAGATTCTGTCCCATCTTGCACGCCTCAGTTTCCTGGTTTATAAAATGGATCACCACTTTACAGATGAGGGTACCTATTGCATCTGTAAATTATCACAATGGTTAGATTCTGCCTATAAAATGCTTTGCACGGTCTCCGATACTTGAAAAGGACACATAACTGACACCTGTTATTAAGAACGATCCTGCCCAATTCCTAGTTTTTGAAAGTCATCTTCCTCTATCTTTTATTTAAATTCTGTATGTGGTTTTTCCCATCTGAAGGAAAAACAAAGTTAAAAAAAAAGTACAAAAGGCCTCACACTTGGATGTTCTTCTCTAGCTCTCATTCTTTCCCTTCACAACTAAGCTTCTTCAAAGAGTCATCTACAAACATGATTCCATCAACCTCACCTTTAACCTTCTTATTCTTCCCATTCACATTTCACCTGGAAGACATTCAATGACCAACTGCTTTTGTTATTAGTCCAACAGCCACTCTTCCAGCTCTGCAGGGCTTACTATTTGGACAGTACTAAACCTTGTTTCCTACTTAAGACGCTCCATGGTACTATGCCTTCCTAGTGTCCCTTTCTCCTCTTTGGCTTGTTCTCAGTCTCTTTGAGGGGCTTTACTTTCTTATCCAACCCTATTCCTCAGGGTTCCAAATCTTGACTCATTGTTATTCTCACTGTGGCTGAATTATCTTATGTATTCATTCTGTTTTCAGTCCACAAACACTTAATGAGTAGCTATTATGTACCAGGTTCTTTTTAATAAGCACTGAGGATAAACAAAAATATACACGATTGCTGGACTAAAAAGAATGCAAGATATACATGGAGTGATATAATGAGGTCTGGCCTGGCTTGTTCAGAGAAGGCTTCATTCCAGATGTGACCAGTAAGTTGTAAACTAAAAAAAAATATGAGTCAACTAGGTGAAGTGGGATAGAGAGGAATGCTACACAGTATGTAAAGGCCCTGTGACATGTGGGAATATGGCTATTCAAAACGCTGGAAAGCCAGTGGCAATGAAACAGAATGAAGAGAAACAAGACGAAGCTGGGGAGCAGGCAAAGGCTAGCCCAGGTAGTACCTTGCCAGCCACATTACAGATTTTTAAAAGAAATACCAGGCCGGGCGCGGTGGCTCAAGCCTGAAATCCCAGCACTTTGGGAGGCCAAGGTGAGAGGATTGCCTGAGCCCGCGGGTTCAAGACCAGCCTGGGCAACATAGTAAGACCTCATCTCTACAATAAATAAAAATTTTAGCCGGCGTGACAGCGTGTACCTGTAGTTCTGGCTACTTGGAAGGCAAAAATTAATTAATTAAAAGTATAATACCAAAAGCAAAAAACAGAAAAAGAATCTCAATAGAAGGGTCATATAAACTTGAGGAAGTTTCCCAAAAATTTGAACATAAAAGGATATTTTTAAAAATAGCCGGGCTTGGTGGCTCAGCCTGTAATCCCGCGCCTTTGGGAGGCTGAGGTGAGTGGATTGCCTGAGCCCGCGGGTTCGAGACCCGCCTGGGCAGCGATACCTTATATCTGCACAATAAAAGCAAAAAATCAGCCAGGCGTGGTAGCGCATGCCTGCAATTCCGGCTACTCGGAAGGTTCTACAATAAATTAAAAAAAAAAATTAGCTGGGCGTGATAGCGTGCTCCTATAGTTCCGGCTACTTGGAAGGTTGAAGTGGAAGGATCGCCGGAGTCTAGAAGGTTGACAAAGGGGTGGCCATGAACGTGCCACTGTACTCCAGCCTGGGTGACACAGTGAGACTCTGACTCAAAAAAATAAAAAAATAAAAATTGGAGGATCAAAATGAGTTCCAGAGAGAAGAGTGAAAATGACAGAGGATAAATCTAAGATATTATTCCAGAACAGATCAGAGAAGTGACAGGCCTATGTTTACTGAAGGACACTCAAGGTACCCAGTAAATGAATGGAAAAAAAACCCACACCAAAGAACACCACTGCAAATATCTGTCTGGGAACGGGGAAACACCCCATATCAACAGGGTGCCTGAATGAAACGCAATTGTATACCTAACCCTTAACTGTACCCCACAACTTCACAATAAAAAAAAAAAAAAAAAAAAGAAATTTCAGAATACTGTGGACAAAGAGAAGTTCCTATCCATGTCCAGAGAGGGAGAAAAAAGATAATATACAAAAGATTAAGCACTGAAATAGTTTCAGATGTCTCACCAGCAATACTGAACTTGAAGCAGTGTCTTCAAGCTCTGAAGGACAATTATTTCTAAAGTCTCAAATGTGGGAGAAGAAGGAAGACATGGTCAGACATTCAGTGTCTTAGAAAGTGTACTCTGCTTCAGAAAGCTGGCAGAAAATGTGTAACAGCAAACTGAGAAGTAAATGAGGAAAAAGAATGGAATACAGAAAACAAGAGGGTATACACCACAGGAGAGGTTAAGGTAATTCCCAGGATGATAATCATGGAATATCCCAGTATGAGAGCTATGTTGCATGCATGGAAGCCAGTCAATCCACAATGAAGTCAAAAGGCTCTGGGGAAATATGGCTGTGTTCAACTGCTTGAAAACTATCTATATGATAAAAAATAACAATATATGAAAATATTTCTGGTAGGCACTATGAAGACAGAACCCAAAGGGTGAAGCTGAGACTATTTGGTAGATGTCACAGACAGATACAACCATAATTTTGCTCAATAGAAGGTAGAAGTTTGTAATGGTAAAAGAAGTTTGAAAATAAAATGGAACACCCCTACAGGGACTCAAGCATAGACTAGATGACAATTTAGTAGTGACTACAATTTTAGAAGGATATAGGCTTCTCTGGGTAGTTGGGTTTGAAGGGGATTAAGGTATATTTCAACCAAAGTATTTTGTAATTCCTCTATAAATGCTCTATCATAAAAGAAAGTGAAAAAAGGAAGAAAGAAAAAGAAGTTAACAATACATTCAAGGCATACAGTTTTAAGACTATACTGCTTCTTCTACTTATGAAACCAACTTTAGAAACTAAAATATGCAAGAGTGATTCTAAAGTAATCTTTTATGAGTAAGGAACCTAGAAGTCAGGACAGGCAATAGAGTCATTAAAATATGAACAAAAGATTGTATTTAATTTCAGGTCATTTAGAATCCTTCCAAAAGGTTGAAACTTAAGCATACCAAAACTGAAAACACTAAAACAATACCAGGTTGCTATGAGAACTAAATGAATTAATAAAGTGATTAGAAGTGTACCCAGAACATCAAAATACTATATAAGTACTAGCTACTAATACTTAGTATGAGTCGGCATAAACTTGAATCGAAGAACATGGACTAAATCTAAAGCCAGACTGCCAGGATCAAATCCCGGTTCCTTCACTCACAAGTTCTATATAAGATTTAAGCAATTTACTTAGCCTCTCTGACCCTCAGCTTCTTCCTCTGATAAATGGGAATAATAGTACACGTACTTCACAGGATTGTTGAAAAGATTAAATTAATTAACACATGCAGAGGACTCAGAAAAGCGCCTGGCACTCAGTGATTGCTTCAGAAGTGCTGTGCTGGGTGTTGTTACTATGAAATGGCAGGTAAGTTCCTTCAATAGTCTCACCTTAGAGAATACAACAATAACTGGAACCAATGTCTTTCCAAAGTACGTACTGGTTATGAAATAGATATCTGGCAAATGAATCAGGTTTTCCTGTTGTCAGACATCACAGAATTGGAAATTCATGATTACATGAAAAACGTTGGCTATAAATCACATTTTAAAAAAGAAAAATATAAAAGTATACGTATAAAAGTGCTCTGAACTCTGTTTTCCCCCCTAAATCACATAAAGGAAAAAGAGAAACAATTTTATTTTTAAAATGCAAAGCCTACACCAGAAACTGCATTCTTCTGGCACTTTGGGAGGCAGACACGAGAGGACTGCCTGAGTTCAGGGGTCTGAGACCAGCCTGGGCAACTGAGTGAGACCTTGTTTCTACAATAAATAAAAAAATTAGTCATGTGTGGTGGTGCAAGCCTGTGGGTCCAGCTACTTGAAAGGCTGAGGTGAAAGGATCACCTGAGCCCAGCAGATTGACGCTGGGGTGGTCATGAGCGAGCCACTGCATTCTAGCCTAGGCAACAGGGTGAGACTCCAACTCAAAAAAAAAATTATACAATGCCACAATCTTCACGTTTAATCCATTTTCTTTCTTAAACTATTATCTTAGAAAAGAAAGGACAAAGAACACCAAGGCCGTAAGTGACTACAGAGTATTAAATACCTTACCTGAATGTTACTGCTTTCACCAGGAATGACACTGCTCTCAGCAAGAGGCGACATGCACATTTGAGAGTTTTCCATGCTGAAGGCAATTCCACTTATAAAATCAGTCATGGGTAAACTCCCATTATCAACTGGTTCCTTACTCCAAGTGTTCTCGTCTACTATCTCTATGGCATCAGCCATGTCCACAGTGTTATTCTCCTTCTCACTCTCAATATCCTGCAACAGTGCTGATTTTTTCTCAGAAACACTGGACTGAATTTGTTTAAAAGACATGGTGGTCACAATTACATGTGTGCCATGTGTAGAAGCATCACTATTCAATTGCCGTGGGTGCATTCCAGCGGCATCCATGGCTGGTGATGAGATGTCTGTGGAAGGAATATTCTCTTTATCTTCTCCACCTTTACTGTGAGTCTCAAGTGTAAAAGGTATCTGAATCAGTGAGGTCCGATACTGAGCACCAGCTCTACACATCTCAAGTCTCATAGGAGACCAGTTTTTAATTGGAGAGCAGCCATCTATATAGGGACTTCTGATACATGAGTTAGTAATTCCATTAGAATTTGTTCCAGATGAAGCATCAGGAGAATGAAAAGTAAACTTCTTTTGTTCTAAAAGTTTGGGAAGGAAAAATCACATCATACAAACATAAAAATGGAAAAGCCACTGCTAAATGGTGTTAAAAACATAAAAATGGAAAAGCACTGCTAAATGGTAATTGTGTTTCAGTTTTAAAGAAAACTGGATTTCTTTAAGAATTGTGTTTGCTAAAGTGAAATTGTGGTGTTAAAAACAATAGTACAGGCTGGGCGTGGTGGCTCAAGCCTGTAATTCCAGTACTTTGGGAGGCCAAGGCTAGAGGACTGATAGAGCCCAGGGGTTCGATACCAGCCTGGGCAACTTGGTGAGACCTCAACTCTACAATAAATAAAAAAATTAGCCGGGCATGGTAGCACCTATAGTTCCAGCTACTTGGAAGGCTGAGGTGGGAGGATAGCCTGAGCTGAGCAGGTCGAGGCTGTGGTGGCATGAACGTGCCACTGCATTCCAGCCTGGGTGACAGAGTGAGATTCTGATTCAAAAAAACAGTTTCACTATGTATTTTACATGAGATGTACCTGAAAGTGGTGTCTTTCCCATCTGAAATGAAATTGGTGAGAAAGTGGGTGAAGAAATCGGAGAAGGACTAGTTGTGCTTCCCAAACTGTATTTTTTTGCATTAGCCTGAATAGGGCTCGAAGAAAACTGCTCCTATAATCAAAATAAACAAATAGTAAATAAATGAAGGTGGTTCACCTTCTTGACTCATACACTGCATGCTATTCATAGTCATCTTTAAAACACATTTGTAAACCAGGAATTGTTCACGAGAACCACCAAAAGGCCTCTTGTAACACAGACAACTAAGAAGATTGCGACAAAAATTTTGAAACAGAACATCAGTCAAAGATTATGTTTAACTAAACCATTACATTTCATACCAAGCAGCTGTGAGAAATTTTTAAGTAATTTGCTCTATTAATGCCTTTCAAGCTGTGTTATACTGTAAATCTTACATAATTCAGTAAACAGCCTTTCCTGAGATTCCTTCAGACTCACGCTAAATTTGTTAATCCCATATACCTCTAAGAATAAAATGGGATAGTCCGACCGAAAACATTCCTGCAGTTGATGACGACACATGAATTAGGTTAGTCTTCATGAAGCATAACACCCAAAAGACAACTGTGCCTCCTGACTACAACATGAGCATCTAGGTCCAAGTATACATACAGCAAACTAAATGGCCTCTTTTCAGTATGCTTCCTACCGAACTTGGTGTCTGCAGAGGGCTCCCTCGCTGTACAGGAGATAAATCGATGGAATAAAACACCTCAACTGATGCTTGAGCACTGCTGTGAGGACTTCTGGGAGATGCTGAAGGTAAGGTGTCAGAGATGCTTCCATTCCCATCTAAAAACAGTTTTCTTCTGAGGGATGAAGAACTGAGGTTTCCAGGAGACTGATCTGAAAATTCATCAGCTCTAAAATAGTCACCTATATTTAATAACAAGAAAAGGCAAAGCTCAATTTGAAGAGCAATTATACTTCTGTTACCTGATTTTTTAAAAACCAGCGTGTACCATATGAAACTTTTTTCAAAAGAGGGCAAGTCTTAATTACATATGTGATGTTTTACATCTTAAATTATTCCGTTTTTTTGGTGCTTCATTATTAGTATAGGTAAAACCAGTAAGATGTTTATGGTTTCGTTCTACAGTAATAAAGTTCACTGCAATTAAAAGGCTAATTCAGACCATGTTCAAAGAAAATAGAGATTTTAGGAAAGTTTCCCCACTTCTTTAGAAAGAAGCATTGCCACATATTACCATTTATAAAAAGCCAGCAAAATAAAACCGTTGGCTTACATTATTAAAGGTTTAAATAAATACAATATTTACCTAATATATTTTCTAAATTAAAGTCCACAGGAAGAGACAGCAATGTCTGACAAGCAGCTGGAAGCAAGCAAATAAATAAATAAGCATACACAAACATGGATAAGTCAATGAAAGTATACAACATGCAACTGAGCATATGCTGTCCATGATGTCCCAGCCAAAGGGATCACTCTGTTTCTGCTTTCTACTGACACACCTCGCCACCTCCCCAGAAGCAGCTTCCCACACTCCCCACCACCAGCATAGGTGTTTTCATGGTAAAGTTAATTGCTGGATGTGGTGCTGCATTTAAATTGAAAAGGGAGCCAGCCCACATTTGGGGGAGATTTCCCATATTAACCAATTTTCAAAAGAATGCTTTCTAAAACCAGAAATCAATTTACATACGTTGAACGTGAGAATAACATTCTTCTGCTATTTCTTTCTTTCTTTCTTTTTTTTTTTAAAGTGGGAGTCTCACTCTGCTGTCCAGGCTGGAGTACAGTGGCATGCTCACGGCCACCGCAGCCTTGACCTGCTAGGCTCAGGTGATCCTTCCGCCTCAGCCTTCCAAGTAGCCAGAACTACAGGCACATGCCACCACGTCCAGCTAATTTTTTGATTCATTGTAGAGATGAGGTCTCGCCAAGTTGCCCAGGTTGATCTCAAACCCATGGGCTCAGGCAATCCTCTCACCTCGGCCTCCCAAAGTGCTGGGATTATAGGTGTGAGCCACTGGGCCCGGCCATCTATTGCTATTTCTAAACCATGGCTGGGGCATCTGTTCTACTGTATCTGTTATAAAAGTCAGTTCTCATCAGGCCATATAGCTCATCCATAAAAAGTCAACTCTTAATTCCAGAGTAAAGTGTTACTATATGAACTGGGTTTAAAATCAAATGTAAACTGGGCTCGGTGGCTCAGCCCGTAATCCTGTGCTTTGGGAGGCTGAGGTGAGTGGACTGCCTGAGCCCAAGGGCTCGAGACCTGCCTGGGCAACTTGGCGAGACCTCATCTCTACAATAAATCAAAATCAGCTGGGCGTGGTAGTACGCGCCTGTGGTTCCAGCTACTCGGAAAGCTGAGGCGGAAGGATGGCCAGAGCCCAGCAGGTCGAGGCTGCAGTGGCCATGAGTGTGCCACTGCACTCCAGTCTGGGCGACAGAGTGAGACTCCAGCTCAAAAAAAAAAAAAAAAAATCAAATCAAATCAAATCAAATCAAATGTAACTTCACAGGGAACATTTCTTTTCAGACTGTGCTCAAACTCACCATTGCTTTTCTCAGAAAGAATGGTCGGCTTTTTTCCAACTGGAGAATCACTATTTATGTTAATACCTGTAAAACATTTTAAGCAAAAAATCTTACATTTTATAGTCTTCATTTACTGCAGCATTACTTCTCCCAGAGCGAAAAATCAACAAAGTAGAAACTTATTTTACAGTATTAAAAAAATGAATATCTGCATATCTAAGTATATATTTTCATATTTCTGGTATGTTGATTTTTTTTTTTTTTTTTTGAGTTGGAGTCTCATTCTGTTGCCCAGGCTGGAGTGCAGTGGCACACTCATGGCCACTACAGCCTCGACCTGCTGGGCTCAGGCGATCCTTCCGCCTCAGCCTTCCAAATAGCGTGTACCACTATACTTAGCAAATTTTTTGATTTATTGTAGAGATGAGGTCTCACCATGTTGCCCAGGCTGGTCTTGAACCCATAAGCTCAGGCAGTCCTCTTGCCTCAGCCTCCCAAAGTGCTGGGATTACAGGCGTGAGCCACCGCACCTGGCTTGATTTTTTTTTAAACTATGAGGGAGCACAAGGATAAGACTAAACAATTACCACAGCAAAAAGGAGGTAGCAATACTTTTTTTCCATTTTATTAAATGACAAAAAATAATTCTATACATTTATGCAGTACAATGTGACGTATCCAAACATGGATACATTGTGGAAAGAGCAAATCACGCTAAATTACTCATCCAACACCTCCCATACTTCTTATTTCTTTGTGGTGAGGACATTTAAAATCCACTCTTTCAGCAATTTTGAAGTATAAATTATTATTAACAACAGTCACCCTCCTGTGCAGTAGATCATAGGATCTGTCTAACTGAAGCTTTGTGACTTTGGACCAATATTGCCCCTATTCCCCCAGCCTCTGGTAACCACCACTCTACTCTCCACTTCCATGAGTTCAACTTTTTTAGATTCCACATGTGAGTGAGATCACACAGTATTTATCTTTCTGGGCCTGGCTTATTTCACCTAGCATAACATCCTCTAATTCATCCATGTTGTCACAAATGATAGAATTTCTTTCTTTTTTAAGGCTTTTAAATTCCATTCTATGTCACATTTTCTTTATCCCTTCATCTGTTGATGGATACTTTGGCTGATTCTATGTCTTGTCTATTGTGAATGATGCTGCACTGAAATGAGAGTGCAGACATTTCTTTGAAATTCCAGTCCTTTGGATCTATACCCAGTGGTGAGCCTGCTGAATCTCAAGTCCAGGAAAGCATAGTTGCCTTCCATGATGTCAACCTTAAAAAGTGAGAAATACATTTTAGCCATCTTTAAAGTCTTCAGACAAACCCTGTCACTTTCCTCCCCCCAAAATGGGTTTAGATAAACCATCTGAATTAAAATGCCAAATTATTGTGACAAAACCTGAAATCTGGTCAATAAAACTATGCGCAGTTTCCTTCATGACAGGAGTAAAAAACACGGATGCCATTTTGGGGGGATTTTCTTGAGTTGGAGTCTCACTATGTTGCCATGCTGGAGTGCAGTGACACAATCACAGCCACTGCAGCCTCAACCTGCTGTACTCAGGCAATTCTTCTGCCCAACCTCCTGAGTAGCTGGGTCTACAGGTGTGTGCCACCACACCTGGTTAACTTTTTTTTTTTTAATTATAGAGATGAGGTCACGCCATGTTGCCCAGGCTGGTCTTGAACTCCTTGGGTCAGGTAATTCTCTCACCTCCCTCTCCCAAAGTGCTGGGATTACAGGCGTGAGTCACCACACCTAGCAATTTTTTTTTAAATCTAAAGTTCTATAACTTGAAAAAAATCACCATTTAAAAAACTAAAACAAATAATGAAATAAAATGACCAATAAAAGCAAAGTAAAGGGGAGGAAAAAGCAAGGACACAAACAAAAAAACTAGAAAGTTTAATATAGAACGATAGACTAGTCTAGTCACCTAACAATCTTAAATTCAAAAATGGGTAAGTGAGTGAGTGGATAGGTTGGTGAAAGTTAAAATCTCCTGCTAAATACTACCAGAGAACCAAGTATTACATACATGTTCTCTCATAAGCAGACGTTGAATAACTATTGTAATACAATAAGAAAGAGATCGGCAGTAGTGGGAAACTGCCAGTAGTGGGAAACTGCCACCGCATCAACAAGAGTATCTGCATAATGAACATTTGTATACCTAACACTGAATTGTACCCCACTAATTTAAAATTTAAAAAAAGAAAAGAAAGAAATACCCACACACACTTGTTTATTGTAGCACTATTCACAGTAGAAAAAACATGGAACCAATCATGCTGCCTATTGAAAGAGGACTGAATTTTTAAAATGTGGTACATATACATGATGGAATATTATGCAGCCATAAAGAAGGACATCGCAGTAACACTGAATTGTATCCCACATATTTAACATTAAAAATAAAAATAAAAAACTACTACCAGAATGGGTAAAAATGGTCAAAATAAATAAAATTATGGATTCAGATGGTTTCTTCACTCTAGGCAGGGTGATCTTCTTATAAGACAAATGCAATCAATGCTCTCTCCCTAAAATCCTGTAATAGTCAAAACCCTGTCTGTTTCTCTAGCACAGCTACCATCCAACTAAACATTATTGAGTACCGAAAGAAAGAAAGGAAGGGAAAGGGAAAGGAAAAGGAAAGGAAAGCCAACCATTTTCTCTCTCACTTGACCCAAAGGACTCCACACTTGATCCTCTGCACTCCAGCTTGGCAACATAGTGAGACTCCCAACTCTCTTGTCTGATGCACTTTTCTCTCTGCCCTTTCTGCCCCTTTGCCAGAGCCTGGCTAACTTAAATCTCAGCTTAAATTGTACCTTCCACCAACAGTCTTCCTGACCTCCTCAGGACAGACACCCACAGCAACATTGTTACAACACCCTTCAACTCTATTGCAAGTGTTTTCTTGGATGTTTCCCCTAGAAGGACTTCTTTTTTTTTTTTTGAGTTGGAGTCTCACTCTGTTGCCCAGACTGGAGTGCAGTGGCCGCTCCTGGCCACCGCAGCCTCGACCTGCTGGGCTCCGGCGATCCTTCCACCTCAGCCTTCCAAGTAGCTGCAACTACAGGCGCGCGCTACCACGCCCGGCTAATTTTTTGATTTATTGTAGAGATGAAGTCTCGCCAAGTTGCCCAGGCAGGTCTTGAACCCGCGGGCTCAGGCAATCCACTCACCTCAGCCTCCCAAAGGCATGGGATTACAGGCTGAGCCACCAAGCCCGACTTAGAAGGACTTCTTAAACAAGCAGTCCAATGTGGGAAAAATTGATGGATTTGGTTATACCAAAATAAGAATTTATATGCAACCAAGGACATGAAGAATAATCATGCATATGACAGAATGGGAGATGACATTTGAAATGTTTGAAACCAATATAACCACCATATATATAAAGTATATAGTAACTCCAATAGGAATATGATCAGTGAATTACAAATAAGCATTTTCTAGGAGAAGGTAAAATGGCCATTAGTATATGGAGAAAAAGAAAAGAATCAAAGAATTTCAAACAACCCACATGAAAGGCAAAAATGTGAACACTGGCTAATGTCAAGTGTTGACAGGGATGCCAGGAGACAGGAACCTTGTCTCTGTTGTGTGCTGTGCAGACTGTAAAGGCACTCAGAGAGCACACAAACACTGTGTAGTCAAATTAGGTCAACATATATCCTAACTCAGAAACCTTCTGTTTGTGCATATATTCCCAAGAATTTTCACTCAAGTCCATAAATAAAAAAACACAAGGATATGCACAGAAGTACCTTGCTGTATAAATACCTGTAACAGTAAAAGCTAGCAGCACAAGCCCACATGTTTAAACAAAACCACTTTTCTCCTGTATTCACCATTGTCTGTTAATCTTTAGGTAAATATCACTGAACACTTACCATGTACCTTCCATGATGTCAACATGATCTTAGGGGTACCATAACAACCATCATTTTATAGATAAGGAAACTGAGACACAAAAAAGCTAAGTAACTCACCTACAGTCACACAGCTAGTAAGCTTTTCTGGTTACAATTCAAACCCAGACAGTATTACTTTAGAGTAGGAGTCAGCAAACTATGGGCCATGGCACAAATCTGCGCTGTTGCCTATTTTTGTCAATAAAGTTTTACTGGAACACATCCACACTCACTCATTTGTGCACATATCATTAATGGCTACTTTTGTAGTACAGCAACAGAGCTGAATGCTGCAACAGAGATTCTTTTTTTTTTTGAGTTGGAGTCTCACTCTGTCGCCCAGACTAGAGTGGAGTGGCCGCTCCAACAGGGTCACTCTTAGCCACATGTGGCTACTGGGCACTTGAAATGTGAAGAGTGTGAAGGGGGAAATTCATTTTTAATTTTAAACATAAATAATCAAATGTCAAGTGGCTATCCCATGTCAAGAACTATAAAAGATCTAAGATTTCATCCTACTTGCCAGCTAATGAGTTAACATATCAAAGTTCCAGGGATGGTGGCTGATGATACGAGTCTTTTGGGCAAAGAAGGACTTTAATATTCTCAGTACAGCAGGCAGCATGAAGTTCATGTTCACATCAGTGTCCCTTCCCCCAAGAGTGAAGGAGGTGATATGAAACAGCCCATTGTAGTATAATTTTGAATACAAGTTAGACTTTCTCATCCCACAAGCAGGCCTAAGTTAACCTTTACAGAGTTTCCATTTTACACTTCAATGTGGTTGATCCAGAAATCTGCCTTACACAACTTCCTTCAGGCAACCACATCCCTATGGGACAGCTACATACACCCTAACTGGCCCCCGACTCTCACCCCCATGTGAACTGTGCAATACATCATAGTGACTGCTCTCAGTCACAATGTGACCTCCTGGAACTCGTGCCTGCTTGCTTTAAGTCCACCAATTAAAACTCCCCATGGGAAACTTGTTTGGGTAACACTCCAGACCCCCAAAAAAGGCACTGGTCCATGGGTCCCTATCTCTCTCTCCTTGACTTCTTTGTATGTGGCCTCCAGGCATGCTCTGTGCCCCTCAGGACTTGCAAGTAATACAATTTTTATTTCCATCTTATGTTTCTCCTAATCACAGGAGGAATTATGTCTGTCTAAAAGATCCTAAGTTAAAACACCCAGGTGGATGGTACATACACAGGTTTTCATCACAGCTAAAGAACCCCAAGCTTAGGAAATTCCATTCTCTTGTAATACACTGCAAGCAAATCTGTTCCATCAAAGTGGATCTTCATCATAGTGGATAGCAAAACAAACTTACTCTTTGTTCTGGTGGGACACACTCTATCTTCAAGGACATTCACAATATAAACATCCTTGAAAAGATAGTCTGGAATAAAACCTGTTCATGCCACTCCTCAAAAAATGTGCAAAAATGTGAGACCTGCAGAGAACTGTCTCCCAACACTGTATTAAAGAACATAGCTCTGGAGCCCATCCCATTAACCACCGCACTGTCATTACAGGAGTGGTTCCCTTTTTAAAAAGTCTAAGTATTTTTGGCATCTTCTTGATCCTGCATCACTTTAACTAAAACAGGATACTCAGAATACAACATGATGTTATGAAAAAGATTACATAAGAAAGTTGATTCATCTGTTAAAAAAAAATTCAGCCTTAAAGAATTTGGGGAGTAAAACATGTCTATGAAAATGTCACGTCAGACATAGAATTTTAGAGTTGGGAGAGATGTTAACAGACATCTCTCTAGTTGAATCTATTTATTCCACAAATAAAAAACTGAGGTTCACAGAGACCAAATAATTTTATCAAGGCTATCTCTGGTTGTACTAGCAGGAGGTTACAGTCCAGGGCTCCATCCAGTCACATGCTAGCATTAGTTTGTCATGGCTGAGAATACAGAATCTAATCTGGGGTTGCCTATGTTGAATTCAGGTTCTGCCACATTTATCATCTCTATAATCTTAACCTTTCCAAAACTAGGTTTTCTCACCTACAACATGGGGCCAACGATTGCACCTATTCATACATGTTTTGTAAGGGATTACTGAAAGCACTTAGCACTATTCCAGCACAGAGTAAGTGCTCAGATCCATTTTACCTATTATTGTGTTATGTTATATTTTCGATAAAGACACATATTCCCTCTTAGCCCGAGAACATAATTCAGGTATGCTACATAGAAGAGTAGGTAATTGCACTGCGGTGAAGGCGCCATACACACAAATGTTATTTGAACACTTGTTATTTTGTTATTTAAGGGTTATTTTGAACTGCCACCCAACCCTGAGAGCAGTGAGAGTAAATACAAGATAACCACTGCCTAGAGGTACATATTTGGAATGCCCTTTAATTTTCTTATTAGTTTTGCAGATCGTCAGCAGCAATCTTATTTCATGCCCCAGAAGTCATGCAAATCTTCATCCTTCCTCTAACTTTATTAACCTTCAAAATACTGCTAAAGTCATTAACAGCTCAGCTCTATATTCAAAACTATTTCTTCCTCTATGGATCCTCTATAACCATCATTATAACTGACAGTCAAAATGATCACAAAGAAAAAGTTAAACTCAACAGAACAACCAAAAAAAGAAAAAAAAAAGAATTCAATGTCTTTTAGTCAAATTTGTAATCCTAAGGAGTTAAATCCTGTTATCCATAAGTTTAATTTAAAGCAAGCTCCTTACCATGGCAGATAAAGTGACACTTTATCATATGTTGCTTTCAATTCACTGATTTTTAAATTTGTATTCATATGATTTTTAGTACACTCACATTTATTGGAATGATACTCTGAAAGCTGTTTCCCTTCATGATCAGTCCAAGGAGATGGCACGATGACATCTTTAGTGAAAAACTAGAAAAAATAAAGTCATACAATTAGACATAATTCCTCCCAAAATGTGAGATGATACTAGTGTTATTCCCAAATAACCATTAAACATGCCATACACTAGCTTTATACTTATATTTAAAATTTTTAATATTTAAAAACACAAATGACCAAAGGTATAATGGAAGAAATGTGAAGTATATATAAAGAGAAATCTTAGTACTTAAAATCAACCACTTAAACTTGAAACTTGCACATCAAATTAAGGGCATTAACTACAGACAAAATATTTTAAATTTTTCCAAATTTTTTTGGGGGCGGGGGGAGGAGGTTACAAAAAGGGGGATGAAGAGGGAAGGAATACATTGAAATAAAGCACGTAAGTAAGCCATTCTGAATGGCATGCTGGCGCTGGATTGCTCATACTGGCTGTCAAGATCTGATTATTACATTTTCAGGAATTCTATGTACCACAGCAATACTGTTTTAGTAAACAAAGCTAGTATTAAAAATAAAACTATGTAAACTTACAATTAAAGCAGTTATATTAAAAATAAAGGAAACAAATATTCAAAGCTCATCACTATTTAATTATTTGACTACATTTGTTTGACTACATAGCTGAGACTACTACAGGTGTGTGTAAATATCTGTGCTCTTGAGGTTAATGAAGTCTGTGGAATTCCTATACATAACGGCATGGCACTGTACTTTTTTCCCATTCAATGATGCACATCGGTAGCCTGAAACTGGCCATGGGTGGAGTATTTATAATATCGATGACTGCAATCACCATCAATCATACTTCTTCCAGGACCAGAGAGCCACTGGTTACCATTTACCAGCATACTACTGGCCAGTGCATTCACATGGAGACAGAGCATGCATATCTCTTCTCTTTCACTCCTAATACAATATTTTTCCTTGCCTATGTTTTGGGGGTAACTCAAAACATTTTCTTTATATCTTGCTACACATATGACAAAGAGTTAATTTTCTTAACTATTCATCAATCTATGTGGAAAAATACCAAAAAAAAAAAAAAGGCAGGGGCCGGGGGAATACAATTTCCAGGAAAAAAAAAAAAGGACTCAGAAACGCATGAAGTGATATATAAGCTCACTCAAAAATAAAGAAATACAAACCCAAATAACAAGATCCCATTTTTAAAGTAATAAGAGTGGAACAAATTAAGAAGTTTGAGTAGAATGAGTTAATCAGTATTCGAGATATGAAAAAACAGGCAATATCCTAACATAACCAGAAGTATAAATTGGTACAGACTTTTAGAAGGGCAATATGGTGATATCTACCAAAATTGAAAATGAATCAAGCCTTTGACTTAGGAAGTTCATTTCAAGAATACAAAGGTATATGTACAAATCACTGCAGCATTATTTATGACTAAAAGAATATAAAAATTGGTATCTGCTGATTAGTAAAAAATACCTAAGAAAAATTATTAAGCAAAAAAGCGAAATGCTAAATAGATGAGAATGATTATCCTATTTGTCTAAAATATTTAAAGCATATATGCTATTATATACGAGAAGATTAATTCATAAGAAATGTTACAGTAGTGACCTTTAAGAAGTGGGACGACAGAGTGAGAGGCCTTTCCTTTTCATTTTATTTGTTCTTCTTTTTGAGCTGGGGTCTCATTCTGTTACCCGCTGGAGTACAGTGGCATGATCACAACTCAGAGCAGTCTCAACCTCCTAGGCTCAGGTGATCCTTCCACCTCAGCCTCCAACATAGCTGACACTACTACAGGTGAGTGCCACCACACCCAGCTACTTTTTTTTTTGTAGAGACGAGTTCTTGCTATGTTGCTCCAGCTGCTCTCAAACTCCTGGGCTCAAGTGATCCTCCGGCCTTGGTCTCCCAAAGTGCAGGAATTACAGACATGAGCCACAGCACCTGGCCTTATTTTTTTTTTTACTATGTGCATATATTTATTCTATTTTCAAAAACATATTAAAAAATTTAATTTGTTTCTGATACATTAGCCCTAATCTTCACTCTAACTTTATTTTCTTAAGTTTTACCTGCTAAATTTCCCTTTAAAGTGAGGATTCTAAAGAGCATATTTTATAAAATGTTGGTAATTAGGAAAAAGTCAGAATATTCAGCCGGGGAGGAATCAAGTGATTGGATCAGAATAAAGATTGCGAAGTCACTAGATAAAGAAGTAGGTAACGTTTGGCATGAGTAAACATCGGTTTTTGGGATGCAAAAGAGCCAAGTACAGCTAAGGAATAGAGGTGAGTTGAGGAGCTGATGGGGAAAAACATTAGATACATAACCTTTACTTACAGTCTAAGAGAGGCAGTTCAACAAACAAAAATCCAAGATGAAAAATGCAATTCATTATTTTTATTTAAAAAAAAAACTCTATATTTACGATATACTTTTCTTGCTTAGCAGTGAGATATTCTATTTCATGAAATATATTCTATGTTTTAAAAATCCAAAGCATTAACAACAAAAGCTAAAACTACTACCAGCTGGGCACAGTAGCTAATGCCTGTAATCCCAGCACTTTGGGAGGCTTAGGTGGGAGGACTGCTTGAGTTCAGGAGTTTGAGACCAGCCTCATCTCTACAAAAATCAGAAAATTAACTGAGCATGATGGTGCACACCTGTAGTCCCAGCTACTCAGGATGCTGAGGCGGGAGAATTGCTTGAGTCCAGGAATTCAAGGTTGCCGTGAGCCATGGTCATGCTACTGCACTCCAGCCTGAACAACAGAGTGAGACTCTTACTCAAAAAAAAAAAAACATTACCAATGCAGTCTAGATTCTGAAGGCCTGAAAATATTCAACTTCCTCTACATAAACTCCAATGTGAAACAGAAGTTTATCCTAATTAGTATTCTAAAGACACGAGGAAGACAAATCCTAATAGGCCCTGAGAATGAAAAGATGAACACAGCACAATACTGGCCAAAAAAGAACAGTCTAGGGAAGAGCATGAAACCAATCATCACAATAGTACATAAATAAAAAGAGAGGCACTGAGATGGCTGAAAATCAGTGGTGAGAGGTGCTTACTATAGTTGGGGGTGGGGGAGGACCGGGAGGAAAACAGGACTGTGAAGGAGTTGAAGACAGTCTTCCTAAAAGAGGTGACATGCATACAGAACAGATCCTTAGCTGGCTTAATAACCAGTAACAGTTTCAAGTTACCTCTTCAATGGCTTTTTGTCTTTTGTCTTCCACATCTTTATCTAATCTATACAGAGATAAAGAAAAAAAAAAAAACCAAGCCATTACTTCAACTTATTGAACATTTAAAATAATAACCTTTCGAAGAAATAATTTCCCTCCATTGAAAACTGGCAAATGTTAAGCTCATTTTAAAATAAAAACTGGCATCTTATAACATTTAATAAATGGCAGTAGTCTGAAATTTAGCATTTAGTATTGGGCTTACCTCCCTCTTTTCTATTCAAAGTTTGAATGGAATAACATTTTCTTTTAAAAGACTTACACTGATAGCTTTTAAATTATTATTAACATAAAGTAATTTGCATAAATTTTGTCCTTTAATCAACATGAATTAAGAATGATTTCATTTGGCAAAAATCTATTGTTAAGTATAGAATGTTGAGTTGCAAAGTTGGTCTAATTATATTGTTGACTCTTGAGGGCAGGAGTAATATCCTGTTCTCCACTGTTGCTTAAACTGTCTCATAGTACTCAGCAACTCTTTTTTTTTTGAGTCAGGGTCTCACTCAGTTGACCAAGCTGGAGTGCAGTAGCATGATCATGGCTCACTAGAGCCTCAAACTCCTGGGCTCAAGCAATCCTCCTGCCTCAGCTTCCCAAATAGCCGGGACTACAGGCACACACCACCATATCCAGCTAATTTTTTTTCACTTTTTTGTAGAGATGAGGTCTCACTACGTTGTCCAGCCTGGTCTTGAACTCCTGGGCTCAAGCAATCCTCTCGCCTCCTCCTCCCAAAGTGCTAGAATCCTACAATGGCATGAGCCATTGTGCCTGGTCAACTCAGTAAGTCTTAACTTACAGATATAACAGTTGTCCACGATTCAATACATTGAAGAGATGAGGCAAAATAATTAAGGACACAGTACATGTGAAACAAATTAATCATTAGCTGTTATTATTTGCTTTCAGCTCTTTCACTTTCAAAGGTATTTTTAACATTTAAATTAAAATTCTTCCATGCTTTAGTCTCATTCTATCGCCTTCATTCAACACTGTTGATGGACACTAATTATAAGTGGATGGTCAAATTACCAAGCATAGAAAGGGCAGAGGAGAAAAGTCAGGCAAGTATTTGCAAGAACATCTCAACATGTACGTACCTCTGTGTAACTGAATAAAGTCAAAGGGAAAAGGATTATTTTTTGTTTTAGACTGATAACACATCTACGTTAGGACAGAAAATTAAAAGCTGGTCACCCTACGTATTTGACTTTTTTCAAATATAAATATGAAGACTGCACTGAGCATCATGCAGAATTCTAGAAAATGTAATTCAGGTTCCTCCAAGTGAACTACGTTAAAATTGGAAGATGTCTACGACAGCTCACTATGCTAATGGATAACCTTCCACTCAAATGCTTGGGGATTGTAGGCTTCCCCAAACATAGGTAGCAACTAAGCAGCACTGTGCTTTACCCCAAACCACCAAAAAACAAAACAAGTCAATGGCAGAAGGCATGACTATGTAAAAAGGTACAAATGTCCAACAGTCCTTCCCTCTACCAAGTGCTGGGGAGGCAGAACTGTCCTAGAAGCAGCAGAGGGTGAAGTTTATCTCTAAAAGAAAAGGGTTCCTCTCCAGATACAGAACTCTTAGCAAGAAAATCTTCCTGGGTATAGTTCTTTGAATTCAATTAATTTAGATCTGCAACAAAATTTTTCTCTTTGTATCTTGACATTTAAAAATACCCAACATTTAGAATTTCCAACCTCTCTTCGCTTGAAAGTATGCATGTTATTACATTTAAGTCCAAGAAAGAAAAACTTACCGAGAATGACTTAAGTATAAAGCTTGACGATGAATATCTTCTGAGTTTATTTCTACAGGATTTATTACAGCTAGTTGATCAATAGACCATCTAAATTTCCCTGGAGTCTTAACAAAAGAAAGTGAGCTTATGAGTAAAAGCAAACTAAGATAGTTCATCAAAATGCTAACCAATGCCACCTACAAAAATAATGTGAATGGTTATAGTATAAAAATATTTTGATGCTAAAATTTTAAATGTGACTTTACCACTATATTAACTGGCAAATGGTAATCAAATCACACTAAATCAACTGACTTGACTGCATCTCTTTTACAATATCAAAATCCTCCACCGGGGTGATTTTAGAATTACATAATACTAGAAAAAATCACAACAGAATAATAAAGGTATAAAACTAACACTCATCAGTGATACACTATGCTCATATAGAAGTAAAATTCTTAAGAGTTATCAAAAGTCTGTGCTTTCACTAAGAATGAACTGAAATAAAAGTCCTAACTATAGAAGTGGCTGCAAAAGCTCATAAAATAGTTTAGTCTTTAAAAAGTTATAAATGGCAACCAATGCTGTTTCTCTGTATTTAACTACCCAACCGAATCAAAAGCTTATCCAAATTCTAATCTGTCTATAATTGGAAATAGATTCCAGACAAGTTCAGACCTAAAAACCCAAGATGCCATACATTCAAACTTTGAAGATTAAGTTGCAGTCAATCCATTATTTATTTTTATTATGCCTAACTGATAATGAAATTTTAATACGACTCAATTAAAAATTACAAGGTCAGATTAATGAAATGATTCAATATAAACTGTAAAACTGCTTGACTTTCTGCTAGTGCATACCTGCTCATTGTTCAAACAGATGTCAAAGTGTAGCTGAAACAGCTACCACCCAGTTTGCAGTTTTTCTAGGTAACTTAGTTGGTTGTTAAGATTCCAGGTCAAAAGAACTTCTCCAGCGTATCAAACAATAGCAAAAAAAAAAAAGCTGAAGTGATGAAGCCTTCCCTAATCGCCTTAAGAGCACTTTCCCTCCATGTCACTATTGTGCTAACCACTAACCACAGCACATATCATCACACTGTCTTGAAATGGCTTGTCAAGTTCCACCTATCCTATTAAAGTTGGTGTTTGCCTTCTTTTTATAGCAGCCCGCAAGCTAAGAATGGTTCTGACATTTTTAAATGATTGAAAAAACCCAAAAGAATATTGATATTGTGTGACATGTGAAAATCACATGAAATTTAAATTTCAGTATCCATCAATAAAGTTTTATTGGCACACAGCCGCATATGTTAGTGTACACATTGCCTATGGCTGTTTTGTAATACAACGTGGACCTGAGTAGTTGTGACAGCAACCGATGACCTGCAAAGCCTAAATATTTACTGTGGCTCCTGAAAGAAAAAGTTTGCTGACCACTATATTAGAGTATAACCTCCTTGAGGGTTTGTGCCTAATGATCCTAACTTGTTCAGAGTGTAACCCCTGTGCTTAGCACTGTACCTGACACATATGACACTCAGTGTTTGCTAAACAAATGAGAAGAATTAGATGATGAAGCCCTTTCTTCAATACGATATTAATAGATCTATATCAAAGTACCTAGTTACATTCACTATTGTAGGATGCTAACATATGAGATCTCTTGAATTAAAAAAAAAAATGCTAGCAATAACAAAAAACTTTGCCAACACTTTGGGAGACAGAAGTGGGAGGATCACTTGAGCCCAAGAGTTCAAGACCAGTCTGGGCCACATAGCTAGACTTCATGTCGACAAGAAAACGAAAAACAAAAAACAGGCATAGTGGCACACACCTGTAGTCCCAGCTACTTGGGAGGCTGAGGTAGAAGGACTGCCAGAGCCCAAGAATTTGAGGCTGCAGTGAGCCCTGATCATGCCACTGTACTCCAATATGAGCGACAGAGACTCCAACTCAAAAAAAAAAGCCCACCTAGATTATAATGAACATCACAATTAAGAAAGCACATCACAGCTATACATGCTCCCCCTTCCCTAGTAAAGAAAGATGATTACATCTAAAATTATTTGTAATTACTTACACTTAAAACTAGTTGCAAATACTAGTCAAGAATAACTTACTGGCAATTTTGTTGATTTAAAAACAGAAGGACTGGCGAGAGTTTGTTCATGGAGATTAGAATAATCACTAGGACTTTCAAAAGGATTTAAAACAGGGATCCTTCCTGGAGTTTCCGGTGTTATTTGCATTTTTGATTCTTTGACCTCTCCCATAGCATAGAGAGGAAACTAAAAGTCAGAAGTATGCATGTTAAGATTTCAAAATACTGATTTTGACATTAAAATATTCAACAAACGTTTCACAATACACTCTAGGGGGTATCTCATAGTTTACATATAAAAGCATCAAGTATCACAAACACATTTTCTCAAGCGATGCTCGAAGTAACCTAGAAAGCTACAGCGGTATTACTGATATCATGCAGGACAATTAAGCTCAAAGAAGTGGCTTATAAGTACAGTCAACCAAATATGAATGAGTTCAGACCTGCCTTGGAGACAACTAAATGTCACAAAACGCGCAGATTCCTTCTCACCTAAAGGACTTGCATCTATAGCTTGCTTTTTCGTGATCTCAACTGCGTGTACAGCCCTCGGACACCCCCCAGCAAGTCCCTATCAAACTATAGTTGCTATTAAACAACTCTTGTAGTGAGCAGAGCAGAGACGAGGAAGCTTGTGCCCCCGCACTTTTGTCCAGAGAAGCAGGATTGCCAGGGCTAGGAAATTAACCGCCTTCCTCCAACAACCTCCTTTCGCCAAGACCCCCAGGCTAGAAAGCGAGACCGCATTACTCCCAGCCAAAGGGTCTGCAACTGGGCGACAAGAAGACTCTGCTTCTGGAAGGTGACGTGCAGCTGGCGTCCCACCGTGACGCGTGGAGGCGGTGTCGCCCCCGGCCCTAGGCGATCCCGCTTTCTGGGTCCCTACTCGTCCACCCCTGCGTCTGGCTGCTTCCGTCCAGCCGGGGCGAGCGGGCAGGCGGGTCCGGAGCCGGGGAAAGGGCGCGCTCCCACTCCAGACGGGAGGAAAACCGGGACGGCGAGGCACGTACCTGCCAGGGTGGCTGAGGAAGCCCCCGACACCGACTTCAGGGCTGCCGGGGGCCCAGTCAGCTCCCACGACGGGGACAGACTCTTTAACTCCCCGCTTCCGCGCTGGCTTAGGCCAACCAGGCCCCGGGGCTTGTGCGCGGCCGGCCAATCGCGCCGCGCCGCTGCCCGCGA